CAACCATTTTTATAAGAACGGAATTCTCTGTTCTTTATGTCAATGGTTACTTGATTCAGCATTCATTAAGACCGCTTACCCATTTTTAAGACTACCAAATTAAGTCCCAATTCTTTGTTTGTTTTATTATTTGACCCCGCTATTGAGACTACTGATTTAAAGTCAACACTCACCTAGACCTTAAATCTGTTGTTATGTTGTAACCATCTGCTTGAATGTTCTTGGGCATGACACTGGATTTCACAATGTGTCAAAAACACCTTATGTTTTGGGGGATACTGAATGAAATAAGGTGAGAAAGAAGATTTTAAAGTGTTTAATGTTGCTTTCAGCATATCGATTTTGCGAATAATTTATTTTTTTATTTGATGGATGAATTTTGTACATCATATACATGTAATAATTAATATTGAAATCAGGCTTAATAGAATTTGATATTTAATTTCTTCAGAAATATCTTCCCATCAGATGTAACATTATAAACTTAACGACATTAACTTTTATATTGTATTTGCAGGTTAAGATACATATTGTTTGTTCAAACAAAATGACTAAAATAGACCATTGTCATAAAGTGTGTAAGAAATGATAAGAATATTCACAATTAAGACCACCCCGCAATTAAGACCACTTTGGTCCAGTCCCGATGGTGGTCTTAATTGAGGGTTTTACTGTATTAGCTTTTCTTCAGAAATTTGTTTAGCTCTAACCAGATTAAATATTATAACAAATTTTGTATTTGTAGGTTATAAAGTCATGGTCATAAAGTATTTAAGCAATGATAAGAATATCCACAATTGAGACCAACCCTGAATTACGACCACTTTGGTTCAATCACGATGTTTGTCTTAATTGAGGGTTGTTACCTTAGTTTATCTCCACCCCACCCCCCTTTCTGTCCTCTATATAACATCGTTTGAATTTATTTTTTTAAGTCTGAAAAATAGATTTTGTATTCTTGATTTTTCCTTTTTAGTTTGTTCATGGTGCTCTTCACTTCGACGAAATTGTGACAAACCGCATAAATTTATAAAATATCAATTGAAAAATAGTTATTGAAAAATTACACAAATAACAAAGTACACGTTTAATATATGCCTGTAATGATTTTATTGATCATATTAAAAAAATGAAAATTAGCAATTTATTTAAAGAAAAAAGCTTAACAGGGAAGGTTAACAATATCAGCTTAAAATAAATAGAATAACATCATACAATCATGTATATATACATGTATTTGATTTCATTGTAAAAGTCTGTAACTTCAGCTTACAGCAACACTCGTTATCTTTGATATACTTTGAACTGAACTCGTGCAGTTGAAATCGTGAAATCATGAAGCTGAAGTTGTGAATTCATGAAGTTAAAATCGTAACTTCGTGATTTGAAAGTTGAAATCATGAACTCGTGCAGTTTAAATCGTAAATTCGTGATTTCCGTATGTTGAAAACGTTAACTCACGAAGTTGAATTCGTGAATTCACGAAGATATAATCGGGAATTCGTGTAGTTGAAATGTCCCCACTGGTCTTTCGTACCTAAGAATATAAGTTTATTGGTTTCAATTGAACTGAACCTTGGGATCACAGGAGAAAGGGGTCAGCCAGAATTGGCAAGATATGAGCTGAAATGACCATGTATTGTACGAGTTTCGACTCAACGTCGGCAAAATACCAGAGTATTCCTGACGGACACACCTATACCCGTGAACACACGGTCAGCTCCATAACCACATTGGTTCTGGGTATCACAGGCGACATTTAAGATAAAAGGCAAAATATGAGCTAAAATGATCATTTATATTTTGATATTTGGCTTAACGTAAGCAAAATACCAGAGTATTTCTGACAGACACAAATAAACCAGCGGACACACGGTCCCCCTAACCATCCAAATATATGAGATTCTGCGAAATTGATGCTGGACCTCACAGGAGCCGGCCGAAATAGGCGAGATATTGATGAAATGACCATTTATAGTACGATTTGTGGCTCAACGTCGGCTAAATACCAAAGTATTCCCAACGGACACTCCTATGCCAGCGGACACACGGTTAAACTCCCTAACCTTCCCACCATATGGGTTTCTGTGCAATTGAGGCTGGGCCTCACAGGGGTCAGCCGGAAATGGCCAGATATGAGTTGAAATGACCATGTGTAGTACGATCTTCGGCTCCACGTCGGCAAAATGCTACAGCATTCCCGACGGACCCACGGTCACACTTTGCACGGCACAAATATTCATTAATTTGTTCCTGGATTATCTTTTCATCTTAAATAGCATTCATTTTGGTTATTCTGGCCAGCCGGAATAGCCAGAGATCGAGGCGATAAGTAATTTTAAACTGCATTATGGAATTAACCAATTATTGTCTATTGCACATGTTTTACTGTATATTCTCTGGCTAGCCGGAGTAGCCGGACAAGACAAAATTTTGTTTCGGCTGTTCGGCTGTCTGGCTAACTTCACGAACATTTAAATCCTCGCGTATATATTAATATCACAGACAGTTAATGAAAATATATATTTCTTGACATATTTTCCTGAGAGATTCTAGAAACAATTACTGTTCTTCAGATAGATCTGCCTCTCTTTTTTCCCTCTGGGATAAGATGGTAATGCAAGTAAAAATTTACTTCATTTGTATTTAACATAATATAATCAAGCAAAATGGACAAATTTGATGAACGATGTTTTATTTCATTACATGGCATCTTTTCATTCTAACTTGGTTGAAATAAATTTGATATAAACGCATTGCGATTTAACTATTTCTATACGGTTTAGTAATATTGTAATTAGTTAACCACTAGGTAACCATAGCTTTGTTTTACTTATTTTTCAATCAAACTTCAGATTTGTTCTTATATGTCTGTCCTTACTTGCTTATGAATTATATTTTAAAATTAAACTAAATGAAATTGAAATATATGCAAACAGCAAGCTGATGAGTAGAAATTTATTTTTTTCTACACAAATAATGATGTTCATACCCACATATCAAACAGATTTCTATTATGACTCGGTTATTGATTTTTTCTTTTAAAATCACAATAAATAATATACGCTAGAAATACATGTACAAAGGGGGAAAACAACAACACATTATAACAGGTTTGATGTACATAACTTCCCTTGTCTTCTGTAACTTATCGCGAAAATAGCAAAATTCATCAACGATCTGTTTCATGCAAAATGAGAAACGGCATTTTCTTCTAAACTTGCAAAATATTAACCAATCGTGCCATATGTATTAATATTTTGAAGGCAAATCTTAATTTTTCTAGACAATGACCAAATAAGGATTTATTGATTCAAAAATGGCATTATTAAAAGTAAATTTAGATTTAAAAAGCAAAAAAAAAGCAAAAAAGTTTTTGAATGCCGTTCTATTTCATTTTACTCGATACTTCTATGTATATGTTAGTGTTCATCCGTACTGTTCTACAGAAATTAGAAACTTCGACGGGAGCGATAGCGACAGGAGAATGTTTCTAATTTCTGTAGAACAGCTACGGTTGAATACTAACATTCTTAGTGTCAAGCTTTATTTGGCCTCATTATTATTTACTTTCTTACGTCATTATGCGGTTCTATGAAGTACTATGAAAAAAAAGAAGTCGACTATTGTTGTATTATGGGTATATTTATTAATATGTACACAGAGCGTGCACTTGTAATATATATAACACAGACACGTGTTACTAGTTCTATCGTTTAATGATAACTGAATATCCCAAGTATATAAGTGGCGGGAAGATAATGGACATGCGCATTACCGTATAAGATATTATTTAGATGAAACATATGTTTACAATATACAACAACTATGAACGGAATTCGATATATAGTATCGACTTTTGTTCTTCTATGAAAATTAACGCACAGAATTTTTAGAAACACAGCGTTTTCATTGGATGACAAATAAAGTTGGACACTAAATCATCATATGATCGAAATTTTAAATTTCGAATGGTTAAGTTCGAAACATTTGATAAACAAATGTAATAAACGATTTTTGTCTTTGAAATCTGGGTGTCATCTTTTGCAATGGGTATTTGACCAACAATTTCAAATACAGGGAAGTTTATTCAGAGACTTATATTAGCTCTGTGGTTTAATACATAAAATAAAAGTGATACATACGTTCTTTCAAAAAAATGATAGATCCTTTCTTTAAAAATTAGAAATCACAATTCATTTTTTTAAAAAAACGCGGCATTCGGAAACAAACAAAATTCACATCTTTTTTTTCAGTAGTAGAGCATTTTAAAAATCTCAAAAACTTGTTTATAATGGAAATATCATTAAAATATCAAGAAATAGACAGTCAAGAAATCGAAGAATACCCGTAGATAAAGTTCCAATTATTTGAGCATATGGATATGACCTTTTCATCATTATCCCCTTCCCTGGCGTCACAATAAATAGATCTAAACCCCAGAAAAAAATGTAGCCAATCAACAATCGACAACCTGTTACAATGTTCTGCAATAGAATTTTTGAGAAAATTTAAGTGATAGAAAACGTTCAGCAAGTAGAATTCGGTGAGTGGGTGGTACAAAGTTATTTGTTGTAGATCTACTTTTAATCCTTGGTGAAAATTATTGGTAAGTAATATAGGCGGTGTGAACCGTATTGGTGTGAACCGTCCTAATAGTGTTCCAAACGTCTGTCTAATGGAGTTTAATCGGTCACTTTTTCCAGGGATATTTTTATAAAATAATAAATGATTGGTATTATCCATTGTGCGTATCCTAAATATGAGTCCAGGCAAGCCCGCCAAACTGCACTGGTTTTTAGTATTATTGTGCCTAACGAAATGATTTAGTGGTGTTGTACCTCCGCAGTTAACTCCCTTTAATAAATTCATACATTTATTACATTATTTAATTTTGTAAGCGGTATAGTTTTAAATAACATAAATAAAAAGTTAAAGTTTTATATATACCAATAATATTTTAATTTGCTGAAAAAGTCAGATATTTTTAAAGGTAGTCAAGAAAAAATGTAGAACTATTTTTCTTATGTAGATTCATCCGGTGGGTGTTGTAAGGCTACACAAATCTGTTGGAACATGCTAGAATTTCAAAAATAACTGTAGTTAATAGTTATTTATAGATATTATTATTACCCTATCAACACAGCAAAAGCAATAAGGTAGGTGAAGAACTGTAAAAACATTAACACTAATTACATGCTGGAAATGAAAAAAAAAGTTTCATCTATTCATGATTGCTGTTGAGTGTTGTTTTACAAAAAAAATATTTAGGGGTTTAATTCAGGAGATTGCCCAGTCTTGGGTTAACCTTTAAGTGATTAAGTTGAGGGAGTATAAGTTGTACACAGGCCGACAATAACCCCAACAAAGCAGTCCGGTTAGCTCAATAGGAAAAGCGTTGGACTGTGAATCGGGCAACCCAGGTTTGAATCCTGGACGGCGCAAATCACTTTTGTTGTGATTGATCATAAAATCTTTTCTACAGTCATTCGCACTGAACCTCTGCTCTGGTATGTACAGTAGTTTCCTTTCCTTGCGGAAGTCACGGCAACTAGTACTGGTAAACTACTTGACAACCTGCCCAGGAACACTTCCGTGGCTGAACTGTGCACTGGAAAATTCAATACATGTTGCTTACTGCCCTGATCCGGAATGTAAACAACTAACACCACCACCTGTAACTCTAACAGCTTGTGTGTCCACGTTGTAAATTACAGAGTTCTGGTGTCCAAATTTCGGCCAGTGCCCGAAGATTTTCAGGTTGATGAGGTTAAAAAAACATATAAAGACGTTTAATGTGTCATTTTTGCACATGACATAGGCCCATTCCCTGTTATCAGCCCATTCCCTGTTGCATCATACATGTACTTCTTAAAATGTGTCCTTTGTAGACAGATCCACTTTAATAGTGAGTCTCTCTACTTAGACTTTACAATTTAAATTAACACTTATGTTCTCCTAATGAAATAACAAATTAACATATTTCCATGAGTTTTTACTAAACTTTATGTATTATTAACAGATGGCAAAACAGATAAGTCAAGAGACATTTGACGATGTTGTCAAAGAGAATATTGAAGATTTTGAAATGACGGTGGAAGAAGCAATAGCAGAGGCAGTGCAACAGTTTGAAACTCAAGTATGTTGATACTAATCAATTATGGCAACCATATTGTTATACATTTATTAAAAGGCGCATTAAACACAAGAAGTGCTTTATTTACTGGTTTCCTAGCAGTTTCTGTCCCCTAGCAGTTTTCCGTTTATCATTTTCGTCCAGTACAGTCTATTTTTACCAGTAAAGCATCCACATTACTTCATCAATCAGAGAAACATTTGTTTTCTATGCTAAACAGCATTTAGTACAACGATTTATATGTTTTGAAGTTTTGCCTGTTATTAAAAGTTACATAAGAAAACTTGCGACATTAAAAAAATAAGCAACACCTGGGGAATTCTAGTTTGAATATCCATGCGCAATAACTAAGACCCCATTTTAGGTAAATCAATACTTCGAAAAATATTTTTGCAGACAACACAGAAAAGGTTGGGAAGTTCTGTCTGATAAAATCATCTTAATATTGCTTTATGGTACTGAATTATATTCAAAATAAAAAAGGTCCGGAAAACTGCTATGAATTTTTTAATAAAGGTGAGAAAAGGCGTTACATTTCAGGACATATTCAAATTAAAAAGTAAAATGAAAGTGCAACATTAAATACATGGCAATGCTGTTTGTCCTGTCAAAGTTTTGTACCCCTCCGTAGACAATGATTTTTATTTTACTTGTTAAAAAGTGTGATTTGTGGCCGGAAACTGCTAGGAAACCAGTATATTTCTCAAAAAAAAAAATTTTTGGCGTTCTAATATTGTTTATCATTATATAATTAAAGATTTCTTCCTTTGTAACATTTTTTATCTCTTAGGGTGTGAACTTGACCATGATTATTCGAGATGCTAGTCTGTACAGTGCAGATGGACAGAAAAGTGTACACCCTGTTGTTGAGGCGCTCAATTCCCTTTCTTTAGATGAAAAACAAGGTGCTGAAGAATTTGATCCGAACAAACATTTAGACATCGTAAGACAGGAGTGTGACATTGACTTATCTAGAAGATGTTTTGCAGGGAAAAATAATGCATATCCAGTTTTGCTGAAAACATTAAAGAACTTCAGAACAAGTAATAAGGAAATGTTTGTAAAAACACTAGAAACGATGTGCTCCTTGTGTAATGGACAACCAGATTTGCTTGACGAAGATGGAGCAGAGTATTTCATGGATATAATGAAAGATGAGAGTAATGATGAAACTGTGATTGCTCTAATAGTGAAGCTGGTTCGTTTGAACTGCATAAAGCATGAAAATAATAGGAAAATGTTTGTTAAAAATGATCTGATTAAAGAGCTTGTGAGAATCCTTACATCAAATAGAAAATCGCCAACCATAGTTAAAGAGGTATCGTATGGACTGCGTTGTTTGACCCTGGATGATGATCTACGTGTCCCATTTGGTTCAGCTCATGAGAATGCCAAGCAAATTGTAACTGAAGGTGATGCACTCCGGAGTATGCTGGAAATCTGTTCAGGTATATAAGTTAGCTGATTAGCTATGATGTAATAAATGTAATGCATGTAGTAATTATATGCGTCTTTCTGAATAAGGAGAATTAGTCCTATTTTTCAATGAGAACAAAATTAATGTTCCGTCTGGGATTAAACGATGATCGAGTATAATCGAAAAGTGATCGTTTATAGAACCGATCAGCGATGATCGATTACAAAGTTTAATTATCGATAATTTATTTTCTTGCCGTTACTTAAGTGACTCACTGTATTATAACGACACTAAATTAAAGCCAGTTTTGGTTGAAACAATAATTTTCATTCAATTGAATATGAAAGTATACTGGTGACCATGGAGTTAATAGTTGACAGTGAGGCATGCTACATGTAGTTTATAGGTATACTATGCTCAAATTTGACATTAGAAAATATTTAAAATTGCTACACAGTCTATTTGTAAATATAAAATAAATATGTTTTGACTTCACACAAAGAAGATATGTTATGTATAAAATTATTCTACACACTAAAGGTGGTTGCAATATCAATATATAGTGTCATTAAAAAAAAGCTGGCAGTTTTGTTAAGAAAGGACCAACTTAACTTTATTTGCTTTTTGGAAGTGAGACATAATAATTTCATAGATTTTAATGAATTTATTTGATAAAAATATTTTACTCAAGGATGAGCATAGTATATCTTTAAACTAATTTATTTCAGTTGATAAAGTGGTGGTTACATGGAAATGGAATTCTTATAAATATTAAAGCATGATATGAACATTGTACATAATTATTTACTTTGTTATTGTAAATGTTTCGATTATATAATCGATGATTGATCGAAAAGGGTTGTTCGATTATTTTCGATGATCGATTATGATTTTTGTCCGATTAAGAAACCCAAGTTCCGTCTTTTCCCTAGGTAAAGCATTTAAATTTTAAATTTGTCATTTCTCCTCTCTTTTTTTCAGATTATACAAGTGATATTTCAGTTCAGAGAGAATTGTTCTCTACTCTCAGTACGTTAGTGGTCAGAGATGAATTCTGCCAGGAAGTGAAAGACCTTGGTGGGCTTGATCTCGTATTAAATTCTTTCCAGACAAATATTTCACAAAAGGTAAAACTAACCATATTTTAGTTTTAAATTATCTATTTATCTCAATTGTGATGAAAGCTTTTAAAAGATTTTTAACCATTTTTAGCTCACCTGTCACAAAGTGACAGGGTGAGCTTTTGTGATCACTTTTCGTCCGTCGTCCGTGCATCGTCCGTTAACTTTTACTTTAAATGACATCTCCTCATAAACCGCTGAGCCAATTTCATCCAAACTTCACAGGAATGTTTCTTTGGTGGTCACCTTTCAAAATTGTTCAAAGAATTTAATTCCATGCAGAACTCTGGTTGCCATGGCAACCGAAAGAAAAAAAACTTTAGATATCTTCTTTTAAAAAACCCAAAGAGGTAGAGCTTAGATATTTGGCATGAAACATCTTCTAGTGAGTGTCTCTCAAGTTTGTTCAAATAAAAGCCCTGGGGTCAAAATTGGCCCCACCCAAGGGGGTCATTGATTTTCCCTATATGCATATAGTAAAAACTTAAAAAAAACTTCTTTTAGAGAACCCAAAAAGCTAGAGCTAAGATACTTAGCATGAAAGATGATCTAATGGGTGTCTGTCAAATTTGTTCAAATAAGAGCCCTTGGGTTAAAATTGGCCCTGTCCGGGGGGTCATTGATTTTCCTTATATGTGTATTGCAAAATCTTTTTTAAAAAATCTTCTTTGAAAAACCCAAATAGCTAGAGTTTAGATATTAAGTATGAAACATCTTCCAGTTAGTGTCTTCAAAGTTTGTTCAAATAAAAGCCCTAGTCTCAATATTGGTCCTGCCCCGGGGGACATTAATTTCCTTATATGTGTATAGCAAAAACTTAAAAATCTTCTTTGAATAAAAACAAATAGCTAGAGTTTAGATATTAAGCATGAAACACCTTCTAGTGAGTGTCTTCAAAGTTTGTTCAAATAAAAGCCCTGGGGTCAAAACTGGCCCCGCCCTAGGGGTGTCATTGCTTTTAACTATATGTGTATAGTAAAAACTTAAAAAATCTTTTTTTTTAAAACTCAACGAGCTAGACCTTAGATGTTTAGCATGAAACATCTTCTAATAGGTTTCTACCAATTTTGTTCAAATAAAAGCCTTGGGGTTTAAACTGGCCTCGCTCTGTGGGCCTATATACAGGTGAGCGACTTCAGGGCCATCATGGCCCTCTTGTTGAGGTTTGGTACAACACCTTTACCTCTAGTCTACCACTTTCTTCTGTGAAAGGAACAATACATTAACCTATGATTTAAAGTACTACTGTTTGCTAATATATACCAATTTAACTTGACTTGCACTGCCTTTTTAAAGATCCAATTAAGTCATGTTTATGCATCATTTTTCAAATTAAGTAACATTTACATGTAACTGCAATATTTTCAATTTGTGACTTTTTGTCGTTTTTGTTTAATGAGGATCCATCCATCCGCCTGTATAGGCACTAAGTGAAGCTTTCACTGTCAAGTAAAGATCCCGGACATGTCACCAGCCATGCCCTTGAAGAGTTAATTGTGAAGTGGTGATAATTTACCTATATCTCCATGCAATTTCAGTATTAGCCAAAGATATGAATTAGCCAAAAGTAGGTCACTGTGCAGTGGCCAATGAGAACCCTAATGTACTGTACCCTGACATATTCTGAGAAGGTATTAGCCCAGATAATAGCTGTTAGTGCCAAGCCTTTTTAAGCCGTCACTTCTGTGCTAGGGGCTAACACACTCTAGCAGACTTTCCGCCTCGTCCCTGCCTACTTTGTAGAACTACTCCTCTAAGTAAGCAACATGCGCACACTGGGTGGGGGGATGAGATGTCAATTTAGGACATACTTCTAAAATGTAAATATTTATACTCGTAATAAAATGTATGATCTTATTAAAAGCTATAAAATGGATGTTTATTATGCAGCTTCAATGTTTATTTTATATATTTAATCATAGTAAAATGCCATTGGCTAGTATTTGAAGTACAAGAATTGATCAAGAATTCTTATTAGTATACAGATATGATTTTTATTTCAGGGCATTGTTAAACAAGTTCTTGGATTATTGAAAGCTCTGGCTGGAAATGATGAGGTCAAGATTGCAATTGTGAAATCTGAGGGTCTACAGTTAATCTTAGCAGGCATGACACAACATCAAGGTTTGTTGTTTTATTTTGTGTTAAATCCTCATCAAAATTATGTAAGCTTGCAATTGGATAGAAAATATAAGAAAAAAATAATCTTTAAATGAAAAGCAGAGCTACTGTTGATTAACGTTTTGGCCAAATTGTCATCTTTAGTCATTAACTTTAAATGCAACAAAGATATTACATTGAAACAGTATGTGAATGCACCTTGACGAGTTCTACGTGTCACACCTATTTTCTAGTCAATGGTGATTGTCATTCACACTGATACCTGTATTTGTCATAGCAAATCATAAAATTGGTCACGTAATCAAAGCCTGTTTTACTATCCAGCACATAAAAAAGTGGAGTCAGGACAGGTGTTGTTTGTATTGTGCAATGAATGTCTTTAGAGAACTTAAGGATGATTTTTTGGAGATTTCATATAGACATATAGGTAGAAAATAAACTGTTCAATTGAATTTCTGTAAATTTGGTATGTTGTTAGAATGTGATGACAGAAATATTTTGAGCGAAAAAGGGTTTGGTGTTACCGATCTCACTTTAAGCCACATATATGTATAGTGAACATAACAGACTCTAACAGACTCTGAGCTAGCTGCCTAAAATAATGCACAAAGAGGCACCTTAGGTCTTTTTCCTTTAGTAAAACTAGAAAATGGTGATAGGACTTCTTTTGAGTTAGTGTTATTGACGTAAAACTCAACCAAAATAAATATCTTCTCTATTACACATGTAATATGGCTATAAAATGCATAAATGAATTTTTTTTTAAACAAAAAACAATTCCTGCAGTGATTTTTCTCACTTAATTGGGAAGAGGCCATAGCCTCTTGATTTTGGGAAAAAATGATCGCTAAAATTGCTGATTTGGGAAGTAAAAAGGCTGGTTTTGAGTTCAGATTTTTGGAAAAACTGCATGATTTTAAAGAAAATTTCAATTGGGAAGAGACCTTTTTTTTCGGAGTCTGTTATATAAGTAGGAAAATCACTGTCCTGTTATACTTTAAGTACATGTAGTGTACTTGTCATTATGTGATAATTTGTATATTTGTTTCAGGTAATGCTCATATAGCTGCAGTAGGATGTCAGGCACTTGCTGCTCTAGTTTTAAGACAGCCAGCTCATTGTGCTATTGTGATGCAAAACAATGGACATCATGTGATATTACAAACTATGAAAGTACATCCCAATGATGAAAATGTTCAGGTGTGTATAAGAAGTATAGTATTCATTTTACAGTTTCTAGAAGAAGCTGGGCCTCCATGGCCTAGTGGTTTAAATGTCTGACTTTTAATCTCTTGTCCTGCACAGCTGTTGATTCTAAACCTATCATGGACCATGATTTTTGTTCATGTGATCAAGCAATCTATCTAGCATATAGAAAGTTTCTTCTATTCATGTATTCTCATGTAATAAAGGTAACATATGGAGGGGCACCTGAAGTCTTCCTCCATTTAATTGAAAAAGTTGGAAAGTCACTATATTATTATATTCACAGGGCTGGTGTGTGTTTAACCTAACCACACTAAATATCTTAAATGGCCTTGTGGACAAAACCATTCACGGTTTTAGGGAGAATTTCAAAATCTTGTGCACTGTCCGGATAGCGAACAGTGCAGACCATGATCAGATGGTACAGATGTGCAGGCTAATCCTTGTCTGCATTTGTTGATTGACTTACCACCAGCTTGCTAAGGATGTAGAAAAACAAAAGTTTGAATTAGAAAAACAAAACATTGTGCTTCCAAATTTAATAATTTGTAGAAATTGCATTTCATGAATAATTTATTCTTTTGAATACATGTTAATTTAAGAATTTCCTAGCAATGATTAAACTGAATTTAAAATTGTTAACATTGAAAAAGAAAGTTTTATTTCTAGATAAAGTGTTAATGTTACAGAGTCTGAAAATATTGCAAATGAATGACATCATTATTAATTGATTCCTTGAAAAAAATATCTCCATATCTTATATGATTTCAATGATAAATGTTTCAAATTCTATTAAAGTTGTTTCTATCTCTCAACATGCTTTTAATGTATAAATATTTGTAAATTTATTTATTTTAAGTTTGTGTGTATTGAAGTTGTTGCATAAGTAGGTCGGTTCTGCTTTTAGTTGTAATGAACAAATTAAATCCTCTAAAAGTGTTTAAAATTATTTTTGTCAATAAATAGTAAAAAATAAGTAGTCAACTGCAAATTCTATAATTCCCTTTAATATAACAACATTTCGGCTGAACAGCCTTCTTCAGGGTCAATTATTTTTGTCCAATATAATTGCAGCATTTCAGTTGAATCATAACACATTTATTTTTGTTAATAGATTACAATTAAGTAGTGTGGTAAATCAACTCTTTATAAAAAATTATTCAAACCACTATTGGTACCGTAAGTGCAGTAAGTATGGCTGTTCTTGACCAAATGCAATTTTGTAAATACTTAACTTACCATTAAACACTGACCTATAAGTATAATATATCATGTTGTATTTCAGAAACAAGCATGTATGGCTATTAGAAACATAGTAGCAAGGACACGTGATCACTGCACAGCTATACTTGAAATGGGAGCGGAGGAGTTGATTAATCGAGCTCGGAATCTAAAGTCATGCGAGGACGAGGCCAAGGCGGCCCTCAGAGACTTGGACTGCCAGGTTGACCTGAAAATTAGATGGACAGGAGAAAAAGGAAGTCTAGCACAAGAAGCTTACTGACCTTATAGTGTTAGAATTTCGTAGATTGTGTATTTCATTTCATAATTTTGAACTTATAAAAAAAAGAAAAAAAAGGGAGGCTGATCATCCTAGACTGAAGATTTTTACTTTATAATTCAGTGTGTTCTGTTGATTTTTTATGTGGCATTATTTGAGCCGCCTCACGACAAAACCAACATAGTGCGTTTGCGAACAGCATGGATCCAGACCAGCCTGCGCAGTCTGATCAGGATCCATGCTGTTCGCTTACCAACTCTATTACATGTAGAGAAACTGATAACTATGTTGGTTTTGTTGTGACGCGGCTCATTTCATCACAATGTCAAAAGATGTAAAGCTATAAATAGATAATTATTATTCATACACATATCTTAGATGGTTTCTCAAAAAAACTTTTATGAAAATTGTTTCTTTTATTTGAAAGAAAGAAAAAACTTAAAATATAATGTTCCCTAACAAAATCATAAAGTACATTGTATTCCTTTGGTATTTTTCAGTGGTAAATGCTATTATTTCATACACACCCACTTGCTTTCACAAAAACTTACATTATTCATTCAATTAAGGTTCATTGTTATGATTCCAAGAAGTTATTCAAACTTTTTTTTTTGTCAATTACAGATGACAGATCAAATATAGCTTTAATTTTGATACCCTTCAAAGTTATGTAATATGTGCAATGGTTGTACAAATACTTTAATGTTATGTAGTAACAAAAATTTACATTGAAATACTTCAAACCAAACTGTATAATGATAATAAATTAATAAAAAAAATGTATCTCTGCCATCAGTAAACCAGGTCATGTGAATTTATCCCAACTTTTTATATCTCCATATTTTATGTTTGTTCTGAATCAAAGTTTTCCATTTTGCATAATTATAATTTCCACTTTTATAAATTTTTTTGCTGCATTTTCAATATATATCATTACTGAATCTGTGATATTTTATTGTATTTTCATTGATGTTTTTTTTTATGGTCCATACCAATGTTGGTGATATACTGTTTGTCAATATTCCCGGCTTATACTGAAAAGGAAAATAAAGAGTATTCTCCAATCCTTGGAGCAGTTTCAAGGTTAGGTTGAAAACAGCTGAGATTTCAACCTCAATTTCATCTTTTTATTATAAACATTGAAAATTTTGACACTCATATTTTGTTCAATTTTTTTTCTCAATTTTTTCAAAATATGAGTGTCAAAATTCAAGGACCAGTATTTAAAGACAAAGAAAATTTAGATTTTAAATAGACTACCTGAAAAGTTTATGATTCTTTTTATTTATTTTTTAGATGCTTCTTTTGTATCAATAAAATGATAAAAACTTGCTGAATTTTATTTGTATTTGTTTAACAAATAGTTTAGATAGAATTTCCTATCTTGTGGCAGAGTGGTTAAGGTCGTTGACTTCAAACCAATGCCTTTGACCGCTGTAGCTTCAAGCTGCACAAATGCCTTCGGATTCTTCATGTGAGAAACTATCTAGCTTATAAAACGTTGTTGGTTCTACTCAGATGTCCTTTTGTACTTGAAACAACATGCAGAGGGACACCTTGAGTCCTCTTGTACCAATTAAAGTGGGAAGTCGCCATAAGACCTACATTGGTGCGACGTAAAGTCCAACAATTAAAAAAAAAATGAAGTAAAAAAAGATTTCTGTCTTATTCTGTATATAAATGTGAGAAATAGAAATGAATAACCAACCACTTGTTGATCACTTAGATTCAGATATATATGACTAGCTAAAATATCAATGGGACCGAGACAATTTCAATCAATAAACATTTGAAAGTGCGATTTTGCTACTCGCCTGAAAAATCTGACGCTCTAAAGCTTAAACCCTTGCCTTGCTGAAATTTTAAAGATGGACTTTGTTGTGTTATCTTGGCACAATCCATAAATGGTTTAAAATATTAAAGTACTTAAACTTAATAGCTAACAGCTACACTTCTTGGATAACCTTGGCTCTGCACAGGTGACCTTGCATGAATGTCAATTATTTAGGTTAACACTTCACCTGCTAAATTTGTAGAAGTGATTTGCAATGCTTTGAATTTGGTAATTTGAAAATAAAGTGTTTTCAGTATGAAAATACAAAAATTGAACTACCAACAGCATAGAGCCTGGTCAGGCTGCACAGATAGCAGGCCTGGCCTTACTTACAAGTGTCAAAGACTATCAGCAATTTCTGTAACTAATGCATGTACATTGTAGTTCATTCGGAACACTCTAATTGCTGATTATTCATGGTCAAAGCCTGCGAACAAGAAATTGAAGGCTTAGGTTGTCAAAGCTTGCAGACAACAAGAAGTCAAGGCCTCAGATTGTGACAGCTTTTGAAGACATCCAAAATATCCAAGCTTTTTTGATGTGTAGGATGAGAATGGCTACTGTAAATAAATATAGAATCATGGCAGGTTATTATCAATTGCAGATATCTTAAGTTATTTAGACAGTTTATGAATGATAAAATTCCCATCTGAACCACACAGCTATATTTAATTAATATATTCTGTATTTTAAGTCTCTGTCTTAGAACATCATCTGTTATTTGAGTAATTGAACATTAAGTGACTTGTTTCATAGAATCAAATGGAAGAAACAAATAAAAATATACAAAAACAAGAGGATACAAATATGCAAATTTATATCATTATTTCATAATACCATGGATTTATATTACATATAATAAATATCCGTGATCCGTGATAATAATGAGAAAATACTTTTATTATCGAAATCTTGGTTCCAACTGGATGGATGGGAACCGTGATGACAAAGACGTTTTTTGATATTATATTAACTGTACCTAAGATGGCGTCCATGTGACAGGAAGAAAAATTATTTCAGATACTTGAAGAATTTTCGTGTCACATGGCAGAATTCGACCGTTACTAAGGTGCAAAGACAATGATCATCTGACAAGTATGACAGAAAAATTAATTGACCTGAAAACGGATCTTGACAAGGCTAAGAAAGTCTACAGGTAAATTTTACAACTTTCGTTTTGACAACTTTTGTCGTTTTGAGGAAAACTTTCATATTTTTGGGTCTCACTAAAGAGTGGCACGGATTTAAATATTCATCCACTTTTCACAATTTGCTATCCTTTAACTGAATTTTACAAGTAACAAAGAATTTAGAGCAAAAGTAATAAGTATAATACTATTTCTACCTGAAATGGCTGCATTTCAAATAATTTCAAATTCAGGCCCTCACCAGCTTAAGAGAGCTAGGTTGACTTTGGAAATAAAATTTTCCATAATATCTTCATTTGCTATTTGCCATCTGTATAGAGAAAATCTGAAAACCTTAATGCAATAGATCATTGTTTTCCAAACATTGTTAATATCCAGCATTGTTTCATGAAAGTGTGTCATAAAATATATAGTAGATAAGCAAATGTCACAACTTTATTTTCTTACAACATCTTAACTGCCCATTTCAACGGAATGAATGAAAGTTATAGCAGGCTAAGTCATATTATTTTATAAATATTTATTTATTTCTCATTATAATCTATATTTATATACAAACAAAAATAAATATTGCTATATTTTAATTTTTATAAATATTGCTGCGGAATACACCGGTGTTTGGACTTTACACCTCCTGGAGGTTTCGGCCTTAGACTTTACACCTCCTGGACGTTTCGGTCTTGGTCTTTACACCTCCTAGATGTTTCGGCTACTTTTTTTATATAGTATTGTATACTGTAGGGATTAATCAGTAAACTTGTTTGACATTCCTTTACACCTGGATTGGATTATATTAATTAACTTAATCACGGATTTATATTACAGGGATCGGACACTCCCAGTTAACCCTATATAAATGCTTAAATATCTTGTCGTGCACCCGATAAAGGTACATCGATCGATAATTTACCGGTGCGAAGCGTAAATGCCCGTTCGCAACGGATACCTACTTTACAAAATACCATATAGCCAGGGCTCTTGATTGACACGGGGATCCGGGTTTTGACTCGTGAAAATCGGGAAATGCACATATTTGACACGTGATAAAATCTGCTCAAGAGTCAATTTGCCACATGGGATTTTCAGCTATGCAATAATAATTACCTTAAATCCACCCCTAACTATCAAATCCTAAATACATGTGTTCAAATCACACTCATAAAAAATGTCAACAGGCAGTATAAGCCGTGTATAAAATGCTTTACACACGGCAATTGTTTATACCCTGTGCACTGAAGCGCGACAATTCAGTGGCTGCAATTTGACAGCGCTAAAAATAGCTCTACACAACTGATAAGAATTACATACTTGAGGTGTCAATTATTGATTGCTTTTAAAGGTTTATAATACGTCTTTGATTTACTTGGAGTACCTGTGCATTTGTTATAAATATACCTGGTACATTTTGGTATTTAAAATTAATATGATATAGCATACTTACAAAGATATTTTTTTTATATTTTATACATTTAATCAGAAAAGCTGCTGCTTATTTTATTCTTTTACAGCAATTACTGTTTTTGTTTTATTTGTTTTTTGTTTTAGGTGGAGGGGGTATAGACATTTATAATTAGGCATTTTTTTCTGTCAATTTAGACTTTGGAATCTTCAAAAATGACCTCCAATACAGTTATTTTGTAACATAAAAATGATTCATGTAGTCAAATGACACTAGAAAAAAATTATTTGACTCATGAAAATTTTAGCCAAAGAGTCTTTGACTCGTGAAATTCTGACCCTACTGAGAGCCCTGATATAGCTTTTTCATTTATTATCCGATTTTGGAAATTTAAAGTTTATTTTGAAGAAAAATTCTTGGTTAATTCAAATATCTAATTTATTTTTTAAAGGTACAGTTTATCTGTCCGCAACGACGGTTAAAAAATTAACTTGATGAAATCCGCGGTGAATTTACATTTTTTTATATAAAAGCAGGTATTTGAAATTTATTGTTACGGTACCATAATACTTTCAGTTTCAAAACAAAAAAGAAGCCGATGTAAGTTATTCACAGATGATCAAAGATGCAATATTTAAGATTTGTTGGGTTATGTAGTCAAATTTATTAACGCATAATTGTTTTACGGGTATTTGTATTGCGGCCTTTACACGTGAAGAAAATTTATTCATTTTTTAGTACAAAATATTGCCGAGATTGTCGATATTGCCATATTCATAGAATATTTAAATTTCATTCATCATTTATATCATTATTATTTTTTGTAAATCTGTTTTCAAATGTCGGTGCAGTGAAGTAGACAATCATCGTAACAGTAAAGTTCTCTCGTGTGGCTGTCTCGATTCCGGCCTTTTTAATGTCACTCGTATATTTTAATCCGTATATTTTAATTATTCTTTTTATTTGAATGCCTGTAGAAAGATATTTATTATACTTTTTAATGTAACGCTAGAAAAACAATAAAAATCTTTACAGTTTGAGTCAGTATTTTGCGAAATAAAAGTAACTGTTGATTATTTTTTACACATCGCTTAAATTTCTTTCAAGTTTAATTACTTTTGAAGGGGGGTAAGTGATAATTAAAAAACTTTATTTCCAAACTTTCATTACCAGGTTACATGTGATAATTGCAACACTCAATCTTCAAAATTAAATATAATTTGAATGTATATTTTGTATATGCGCGGTCTTTAACTACAGTTCATGGCATATGTGGCGAAGTGTAGAGAGTATGCCTAAACAATAGGCGAATATTTTTTAAATTAGGTACTTTTTAACTAAGCGTTGCAGCGTTCTATCAGCATATTTTCATATAATAATACTTTAGCGACACAAAATAATACTGTATCAATACATTCATATGTGTATAATTTTTCACAAAGCTGCAATAACACCACATACTCCGGTGAAAATCTGTCATATTTCGTACTCCGCACGTTCCGCCATCTCATTCTGTCCACCTTTATCCGATTCCGCGCATGCGCGCGACGGGACTTTAAGCTAAACGAAAGTGTCCGATCCTTGTAATATAAATCCGTGACTTAATATAATAATTAAGTGATAATTGAATAATCTCAATAACATTATATTTGCAAGATATAGACTTTGAGAGAATATTTGTTGAAAGCATATTTTTGAAATTCATAATTGGGAAATTTAATTAAAAAATGACATACTTGTTCAAATAAAATATACCAAATATGTATCAATGTATGATTTTTTTTTAATTAAATGAATTATTCTAGTAAACTTTTTTTTCACAGGTAGTAAATATAGCTATATGATTTATTGTATCGAATTTGTTTGAAAATTATGAAACTAAATTTAATAAGTCATTGGTAATATTTAGTCATGAAAAACTAATTTATTTGTTATTTTTATTAATTCATTATAAATTCATGTTATTTTTGATATTGGCACATTTCTCTTTGATTAGTGATACTATTGTTTAAGCAATAAGGTACTTTAATCTGACAAATCAATTAAATTTTCACACTTATAGAGGTGCTAATTAATTAACCAGTATATGCATGCAGACTTATAGCTGATAATTTTTTCAGAACTCATAGAAAATACCATATTTTTTTCTCAGGGAAATTTCACTATATTTATGACCAAAAAATCTTCTTTATCACATGAATGTAATTGTTTGCAAGAATGTGTTATATTATATCAATATTATAACCCATAATGGTATTTATTTTATATATTTATATATTTATCAAATTTAAAAAAGTGCAGAAAAGACCAGGGTTTTGAGGCCGAAAGGTCCAGGAGGTGTAAAGTCCTAAAATCAATACACTACCATCAACTTACCATCCTGTAAGAATACACATCCACAAACCATTGCACATTATATCATATATGATGCAATGCAAGAACCAGAATCATACTTGGTTCATGTGTAGAAAGCATTATGATACAAGAGTCATATTTGCCAAATGATTATCATATCAGCGGCATACTTTTTAGTCCCCTACCGGTTTAACCGGAGGGGACTTTAGGTTTACCCTCCGTCCGTCTGTCCGTCTGTCTGTCTGTCTGTCCGTCTGTCTGTCCGTCCGTCTGTCTGTCTGTCAGTCCGTCAGTCCGTCCGTCCACAAAACTGGATCCCGCGATAACGCAAAAAGTACTGAAAATATTTTTATGAAACTTGATATATGGATAGATGGCAGTATGGAGATTATGCACGTCTTTTTTTTTTCTTCCTATGTTGAAAATTCTGGTTGCTATGGCAACAAATAGTCTGAAAATATGGCAAATTTAACACATAAACTGGATCCAGTGATAACTCCAAAAAGTACTGAAAATATTTTTATGAAACTTGAAATATGGGTAGATGGCAGTCTGGAGATTATGCACATCTTTTTCTTTTCTTCCTATGTTGAAAATTCTGGTTGCTATGGCAACAAATAGCCTGAATTTCAAGATTTCTGATTTAAATTTTTCAGCTTTTTCACTATATGTTCTTTATTTCTTAAGGTGTTTACTTCAAACTTTAAATATAAGTTTCTGGTCATCAACCACATCATATGTGACAAGGTTTATAACTCTAGCACAAAAAATATCAGTATTACCTGCCTTGAACTTAGATTTTTTAGGGGAAAAAATGTTGTCTTTTTTAAATAACTTCTTTATTTCCTAATGTATCTACTTCAAACTTCATATATATGTTTCTTATTATCACTCGACATTTTTGAGAAGGTTAAATACTCTAGCAAGACTATTTCCAGAATTATGTCCCCCTTTAACTTAGATTTTTTTAAATATTAACAAATAGTCTGAAAATATGGCAAATTTAACACATAAACTGGATCCAGTGATAACTCAAAAAGTACTGAAAATATTTTTATGAAACTTGAAATATGGGTAGATGGCAGTCTGGAGATTATGCACATCTTTTTCTTTTCTTCCTATGTTGAAAATTCTGGTTGCTATGGCAACAAATAGCCTGAATTTCAAGATTTCTGATTTAAATTTTTCAGCTTTTTCACTATATGTTCTTTATTTCTTAAGGTGTTTACTTCAAACTTTAAATCTAAGTTTCTGGTCATCAACCACATCATATGTGACAAGGTTTATAACTCTAGCACAAAAAATATCAGTATTACCTCCCTTGAACTTAGATTTTTTAGGGGAAAAAATGTTGTCTTTTTTAAATAACTTCTTTATTTCCTAATGTATCTACTTCAAACTTCATATATATGTTTCTTATTATCACTCGACATTTTTGAGAAGGTTAAATACTCTAGCAAGACTATTTCCAGAATTATGTCCCCCTTTAACTTAGATTTTTTTCGAGAAACTGGTATTTTCACTCCAACTTCTTCATTCCTTATAGGATTTACTTTAAAATCCCACATCGTAATAATATGACAAGGTTGTATAAACATAATTTCCTTACTAAGCATGGAAACTTAACACATTACTGTGATATAGACAAACTTATTTTATTATGTTTTGTGGTTGATATTTTCAAATACAGACTTCATCCTCAAATTCATTATAAATGGCAATACACAGGAGTGTATGACAATTAAAGAACTTTTTGAGGGACCGGTAGGGGACTACTGTATTGCCCGCAATACTATCAAATGCTTGTTTTATCATGTGAAACAAAATAACATCATTTTTTTTTAACAATTTGAATTTTACTAGTCCTAGGCTAGTAAATAAGGACCTGTCCCAGAGAAAATCTATAATTTAGTGCTAATTTCAATCACTAAACTTGTAATATACAAGTCAACATATCCCAGAATTCTGTTCTGTGTTTTCATACTGTGTTTTGGGTTCTTAACTGAATATTGACACAATTGGCGGACAATCATATTTCATAGATTATAATATCACAGATTTTATTTCCTCTTTTGAAATTTGTTATTCTTTGCTTATTTGTAATTTGTAATTATAAGTATATATACAGTGAAATTTCATATATTTTTTATGATTTAGGGCTGCTGTTGATGCTGTGAGAAAACTTGATGAAGGTCTTAAAAAGAAGAGAGCATACAGGGAGGTCTTTCACCAAGATGCTGTTGGCCTCCGCTACAAGTATATTCTTGCTGTCTTACATTAAATCTGAAATAAATTTGCTGCATACTAAGATTTGATTGTCTGATATCTGTACATGTTTATCCATTTACATTTATGTACAACTGATGATGAAAAATTGTATTAATCTATTTAATGACCCTGTTATTTCCAGATAGATTTATTAGGTCATTTTCTCACGGAACTAGGTCATTTTCTCACTGAACTTCTTTCTTGTGCTCCTTCTTAGAGGTGGAAGGCATACAGATTTGCCCTTGTGTGTCTGTACCTGTCCAGTGTCCATACTGTTAAAAGAATGGTATGGGGGAGGAGGGGGGCACACATGGTCTGTGGACACATTTCTAGGTTAAATGATATTTGTTATGTTCAGAAAACTCTGCTGAAACATCTTCTAGAATTAAAGATCTTCAAGATTTTTTTTTAAATTTTGAACCTATTATGAATAATTAAGGCACAATTAAGGCACAGTTAGACCAGCTGCATTAAAGGTTTTTCCTGGACATGCTAAAATTGTGTGTATTGAATTTGTGATTTCAGGCTAAGAGAATATTGTGAGCGTTTGATGTTCTACAATCCATTGTATTATGGTAGAAAGGCCGAGGAGGTACTGTGGAGGAAGGTCTTCTATGAAATCATTCAGCTAATTAAAAAGAATAGAAGGGTAAAATTATATTTTGTTCACAAGAATTTAACAAAACATGCCATTATAATTACAAAATGTATGTTTTCAAAATAATATGTTAGTCATGTCTTATATAATCAAGTATGTGAATGTAAAGAACTTTTAGCACATTTTGTATGTAGTCATGTTATGCTTGAAATAACTTTCTCTCCTAAATACCTTGGGATAATTGTGATAAAACAATACAGGAATAATCCAGGTTCTACTTGGTTAGCTGAACAAAATGGCCACCAGTACTGAAAAAGAAGAAAAAAACTTTTATAAACAAATTTACAACATAGTTAAGTATCTTTGATCCCGACGCAAATATTGAAACTCAAAGAGAATGTATCTTGGGTGATCATTTACAAAATGATTCAAATCATTACAAACTGCTGAACAAGATGGCCAATATTTCTGAATGTAGAAATAAGCTTTTAAAGAGATTCTTTTCCTCATCTGCTGGGTATATTTCATTGAAACCCAACAGGAATGATCTATGGGTTGTAGCTGCTTTACAATAAAGATTGACTTTAACTTTAAAGGTCAAGTGATTTATGCGTCAGACTAGTAATCTTAGGACTGCTGACCGGGTGGGTTCAAACCCTGTCAGAGGCAAGCCGTTGTTTCCTTGAGCAAGAAACTTAACATTCATTGCTTAGTACTGTTTGGTTGCAGGAACGGATTTGAGAGTGTTCCAATTAGCTTATACCTTCCAACACAATCAAACTAAAATAAATTTGTATAAACTAAAAGTTCATACACAAGTAACATTTGTAATATCATTTTGTGTTGTTTTCAGCATGTACGTGTGGGCAGTTCATTAGAGACAGCATACAGGACACATCTATCATCAGCGTGTGGTTACTACTATCATCTCTTGTTCCGGCTACAGCGAGACTTCAACCTTAAACTCGAAACTAGAATCGATTTTCCACTGCTACCTGACAATAACCCAGGTAAATCATTTGTTTGTGTTAAGGTACATTATGTAAGAGCATTTTGGTGGTTAGTTATCGCAGAAATTCTCTAATCTGTAGTTGTCTGTCTGTCTGTCTGTCAGTTGCAACATTAACTGTATCTGTAATCTACTTAACAAATTGACCATTTGAGAAAGACTGCTCCGCCATTGTGATCATGTGATATGCATGTAGTAAAACTAACAAATACTAATCATGGACCTTGCTATCTGGCCAAGGTCAAGGTCAATATATCACTTGACTTTTATAAAATACGCATAAGTATGTAAAATATGCTACAGTGATAGCCATGAAGAAGGGTCATATGTGTCCTATGGGCATATTTTAAGTTTTGAATGTTAATATATTAATTGTTTATTTTTTCTTTTGCATAATATATCAGTTAAATGCATATATACTGCTTTTAACAATGTAGGTAGATTTTCAAAGACAACAAGACGTAAAGAAGTGACACCTGCTATGCATGAATGGGCAATGAAATCGGTACACCGATGCTTGATATGTCTTGGAGATATTGGTAAAATTTTATATTTTATTTACATTAGTAAGATTGATAGATTGGTAGAGATAGCTTGAAGTCTAGATGTTTTATTGAAGTCTAAGGACAATGTTATTGAAAGAATGACTATAATGACGACAAGTTTCTATTCCACATGTGGTTTATACTATAGAATCACTGTGGGTTCAAATCTTGTCACAAACTTTGAATTCATTTGTACAAGGAAGCTATCTGGCTTGTTTACTGAAGGTTGGTGGTTCTACTCAGGTGCGTGCTTGAGTCTGAGGTAATGCATGAAGGAGCTTTTGAGGTTTTTCTCCACCAGTAAGACTGGAAAGTTGCTTTATGACCTTTACAGTATTGAAGTGACTTAAAACTCCAACAAAACAAATGACTAAAAAAAGATTCTGTAAGGAATTGGTATCAAGATGAAATCACAAGGATAATGTCAAATTAATTGCAGGTTATGTTTTACTAAACCTGATTAGTATTGTTTGTAAATAAAGCGATTTACAAACTATTTATCATAAAAGTTACTCAATTAGTTTGGTATAAAAAGTTATTTGCAGCATTTAACAAAGTTTATACAATATATATTTCTACCCTGAACAATTCATTAAAATAATTGTTTTTAAACTTATTGAGTTAAATTGGTATATAAAATTATCCTATCTAGTCTTTGTTGTTGTCTTCCAGCTCGTTATCAGCAAGATTTTGATTCAGGCATGAGTGGTTCAGCGGCTGAGAGGTTTTATCAACAGGCGCTTATGCTGGCACCTGAGATGGGTATGTTGTCATAGTTTATTGTCTGTTGTTTATACGTCTACTTTTATACTTAAGCATTCTATTCTTTGGATTTAATTAAATTATGATAATTGCCTTGTTAAATCTATTAAGGCTTTTAAATCAGAAAAAAATCTTTTCCAAAGAAATTAAATATTGTATTCAGAAATGCTTCATGTACTTAAAATTTATAAAAATGAATGTATAACTGATTAAAAGTTACAAAATCGCATACACACAGTAACATTTCAAGCAATTTCCTACTGAACCCTAAACATGCATAATATCCTACATGGACTTGACCATATTTGAATTTGGGCGAAAAAATTCATCATTTTTAAGGAAAATTTATCGAAGTATATAATGACTAAATACTGAACAGTGCAGACCATAAGCTGAGGGCTCAGATGTGCTGGCTGATCTTGGTCTGCACTGGTCGAAGGGGTGTAGATTCAGCTGGCGAAAAGTCAAACTAACTGATAATTTTAAATTTTTTACAGGGATGGCTCATAATCAGCTTGGAACATTGGCATCATCACGCTACTTTAACTGTGAGGCAGCTTACCACTACATACGATGGTGAGATACCTTTACTGATACTTATTAAATAAAACACTGTTTTCCTGATGAAGTAATTCAAACTGTTCTTAAAATTTATCAATATCATGTTGTCCCTTTAATTAAAAAGTTGACTGAGTCTTTTTATTGATCAATAGTAGATTTGATCATTTTTAGGATGGGAAATTAAGAAAATATGTCACATTATTGTTAAAATAATATATACAGATATTTATAAACAGAAGGGCCACATTAATGGATTGGAAAAAATGGACTACTTACTTCATATCGCTTAAAATGAGGCAAGTGCTTAGTACTCTTTATATGCTCATTGTCTGTAGTTTTAGTGCTAGTTGCTTCCCCTGAAATATGCATGGGAAGAGTACTGTATAAGGCTATAAAATTTGCTGGTTCTTTATTTTGCGTTCTTTCTGAAATAAAAGATCAAAGGTCAAGGGAGAGCAACGTTCAAAGAATACAGTCACTGACAAGATTAAGCCACATATGCTCTCCCTTGACCTTTGATCTTTTATAAAGGGTTATTTTGTATGTGTCTTAATTTTGGACTTCACTTCAACTCACACAGATTCTGCTGAACATAGTTTGTGCAAGGCAAAGTTAGATCTGGCTTAGCAATTACCATGAGAGCCAAATATAAGTCCACAATCAAGCTGGTCGCAGACCCATCATGTTGGTTTTGTCGTGACGCGGCTCATATATACTATTTGTCCTATCAAAATATACTCATGTAACTGTATACTATAAAAAAAAAGTTATAACGTTGTTACAATGACCCATTTAAATGTTTATTTTAACAATACAGCAGTGTCTTAAAACATAAAAATATGTTAAATTCATCTTGTTTAATACAGTATGGCATGTGATGTCCCATTTGAAGGTGCCGAGGGCAATCTGCAGAGATTATTTGAGAAAAACCAAAAACGTTTTACTGATTTGAAAACTGACTCAGGCAAACAATCAAATACTCCAAAAGAACAATGGTATGTATGTTACATTGGTCATGATACATTCATGTCATTGATTCATTTTAAGGCATATAAACACATGACGTTGTTGTTAATAATTCAGTTTAAAGGATATCAGCTATATATTGGTTACAGAGATCAACAAAATACATTGATGTTATAGATTTGGTGTAAGGGATATCTACAAAACATCAATGTAACTGTTTTTAGTTTTATCAACCAGTGTTTTTTTTCTCCTGTATTTTACAGCCGAATAAAGGCTGTTTCCCCTAGCACAAAGTAGGTATATTTTCCCCTAAAAATGCTAATATTTCCCCTAAAATGTCATGTGCACATTCTTCACTTAACAGCAGCTGACTTATATCAGCTAGAAGACAGAATGCTTTTCCTATAGATAGCCTTTGCTATGTACCATGCATGTTAAGTTGAATTGAAATTCTCAGTTGTTAGAATTTGATTATTTATTGCACTATATTTCCCCCTTCAGAAAGCCGCAGGTTGTTTTGAAAATTGAAAAGAAAAAGCACTAAAAGCAATCAACACATCAATATATCACTGATTAAGTTTAATGGATATCAACAAAACATTAATATCTTTGATTCAATATATAGGTAATCAACATTATATAATTAATTGTATGCTATAATTACATGTAGATGCATTAGCTATAATAAGATAGTATTTCTGTTTATTTTAGCTACCAGGACCTGAAAGCCTTCTTCGTGAGGTTTCTACAGCTGCTTAAAGTCCTGTATGATGTTCCAATGTAAGTACTATAATTTGTTATAATTGCTTGATATACTATAGAAAAATTAGTCTCAAAGAAATTGATAAAATGTTAATAGTCCTGATATACCAATTCAAACATTGAATTTCTGTAACACATCTTGCTTTGAAGAAAAATAATCAAGATTAATTCTTAATATTAATCTACTTTATTATGGCTCAGTGACATGTCCATAACCTATAAAGCATTTTAGTCTGGCCTTAAGTACACGCCCAAAATCTCGCGCCGGGAGAAGTAAGTCATTATGACGTATCAAGTCATATATAAAGGCGATCATTTCGGTATTCGCCCTCTTTTTCTCGACAAAGCAGTAAGCAAAAAACGTTAAAAAATAAAATCGACATGCCAGGGCGTGGTAGAGGTGCACGAGGCAGAAGGCGAACAAGGAATGCTAGCCATGGAGCAGAAGACAGCCAGCAGCAACAGCCTAAAAGACAAAGGGTCTCTTTTGATAACAACGAGGACAACGTGGATAGAGGTGAGTCGCATTCAGTTATTGATTTTGAACAAATTTTACGGGCATCTGACATCCTTCCACGTGGCGGCCACGTGGCATCAACTTCGTCTGCTTGTACATCAGATAGGCTATGCAGTGATGAGAATATCACTCGCCGCTCTACCGAAATTAGTTACGATAATGTAAATAATACAGAATTACAGGTTCAAAACAATGTTTCAAATGTCATTTCACCTCATCCTGTTGAATTACTTAGGCAAACTAGCGACGAAATCGCTATGCACGTACCTTCGTCTTTAAAACAACGTATTTGCAAAGGCGAATATATTAATTTGTCTTTATTGTTAAAGGGTGCGGTGGAGTTGGCCGATTATAATAGCGTTGGCACATTATATATTTCCAATACTGGTAAAATTGAGTCACGACAAAATGAAAGCAAAGATGACATAAATTCTATAGAAAGATGGACTGACGCATTCATCATATTTATGGACATTTATCTTTCGGCTCATCCGCTTAAAATTCACGAGCTACTGCAATATTTTTTCATTATAAGAGAATGCGCATCAGTCCATGGTGGTACTTTCTGGAAAACTTACGACCAACAATTTAGAAGCCGACAGGCAATAACACCTGTATCATGGTCTTATATTAACCATGATTTATGGTTACGTTGTATGCCCCTTCGTGGAGAACAGAAAAATCATCCACAATTACTAAATTTCGAACAGAAAAAACAGTCACGACCACAAAATATCTGCATTGACTTTAATAGAGGCCAATGCAAATGGCCGAATTGCAAGTATACACACGCATGTTATAGTTGTAACAAGGGACATCCATTTGTTAACTGCGTCCCTAATTCAAGGAAAAATTCCTTCAGTGCAAATGACACGAACAGCGGGCAATTCAGTCCCCAACCTCGTGCGGCAGAAACGGACTCATTTCACGGCAAAACACGTGGATCCTTTCGCCGCACAATGCCCTATACAAGACCGCATAGGAGCTACTATAGACGTTAATAACGGACATATCTACGATATTGCTTATTCGCCAGTTAAAATTCCAAGTTTACAACAGTGGTTGATTAACTATGATTCTTCGGATGTTAAAATACTGTTAATGGGTTTCAAACATGGTTTTCGTCTAAATTACGAGGGCCCAAGGGAACCACGGCTTTGTAAAAACCTAAAATCCGTGACCCAATACCCTGATATAGCGCAACAAAAAATAGAAAAAGAAATAAAGGCAGGCAGAGTTGCCGGTCCTTTTAATTACCTCCCTTTAATTAACCTTAAAGTCTCGCCGATCGGAATTGTCCCAAAGAAAACAATAGGGGACTTTCGATTGATTCATCATTTATCCTATCCGGAAGGTTCGTCTGTTAATGACTTCATTGATCCAAAATTATGTTCAGTTAAATACACGGAATTTGATGAGGCAATACACATGGTTCAAGATCTAGGTCAAAATTGTTACTTATTTAAAATGGATATTAAAAATGCGTTCAGACTGCTTCCTGTTCATCCAGACGATTTTGAACTACTGGGCTTTATGTTTAACGGCAGTTATTATTTTGACAAATGCTTACCCTTCGGCTGCTGCATTTCACCTAGTCTGTTCGAAAAATTTTCAACATTCTTGGAATACATTATTAAACGCAGAATTCCGAATAAGAAATTACTTCATTATCTCGATGATTTTTTAGGAGGAGACACTTCCATTGAAAGCTGTAAAAATAACATGAAAATTTTCTCGGAAAGTATGCAGGAAATCGGAGTTCCGCTAGCAGACGAGAAATCCGAAGGCCCGTGTCAAGTATTAGTATATTTAGGTCTTGAACTAAATTCCAGGCAAATGTTAGTCCGAATTCCGGGGGAAAAAATACAGGAAGTAGTTGAAAAAATTCTCGCGACCCTAACAAAAAAGTCGGTAAAATTAAAAAATATACAGTCATTAATAGGTTCCCTTAATTTTTGTTGCCGGGCTATTGTAGTAGGCAGACCTTTTTGTAGGCGTTTAATTGACGCCACATGCGGGGTTAAACGCTCTTACCATCATATCAGAGTAACAAATGAAATGAAATGTGATCTGAAAATATGGCTTGAATTTTTTAAGCATTATAACGGTATTTCAATGTTTCATGATCGATTTTGGATCTCTAACGATGATGAACAATTATTTACGGATAGCTCGGGCGGTATAGGCTTCGGTATTTGGTTTAAGGGACATTGGTGCCAATGTAAATGGCCAATTTCGTGGAAAGAAAATAGTTTGACAAAAGATATTACGCTTTTGGAACTTTTTCCAATTGTTATCGCTACAGTCCTTTTCGGCTCAAAAATTAAAAACAAGAAAGTACGCTTTAATTGCGATAATCAATCGGTGGTGTGCATTTTAAACACGATGACTTCGAAGTCTCCCCTTATATTATCCTTAGTTAGGATACTAACCATGCAATGCTTAAGGCACAATTGCTTGATAAAAGCGTCTCATATCGCTGGGTCAAAAAATAATATTGCCGATGCACTCTCTCGATTTCAGAACCAAAAGTTCAGAGAGCTAGCTCCACAAGCGGACACAACCATGACTCCAATGCCGGACCATCTATGGAATATATTCAGCTTAGATCTAGACAACTGGTATACACGGGGATTTCCTCTAACACTCGATTAGCATACAATACAGCAATTAATACTTTCAATTCATTCAGAGGGTTATATAAGCTTCAATCCGTATGGCCCATACCGCTACAGCATATAATGTGGTTTGTTACCTACTGCTTTGAAAAACTCTACTCACCGAGAACAATTACTACGTATATCTCGGGTTTATCGTTTCATCATAAAATAAATGGATGGTACAATATTAGCGACGTATTTTTGATACGTAAGATTCTTGAAGGTTGCCGCAGAGCCAGACCATCTATTGACAAGAGGGCTCCAATTACACTTTTAATGTTACATGCAATCTGTAATGTTTTACACGCTGTTACAAATAATGAGTTTGAAAACCGTCTTTTTAAGACTATGTTTACGCTAGCATATTTTGGCCTTTTTAGAATAAGCGAATTGGTTGCGACTCGGACAACGAATAGAGCAGTCGGGTTTTCCGAGGTCAAAATAGCAAATGACAAGAAGTCTGTTTTCATTACTTTAACAGTTTATAAGAATAATCAGTACGGGAAGCCAGTAACGCTAAAGATACCGTGCGAGGCAGATATTTCTATATGCCCAGTCTGTAGTTTACGCTCCTATCTAGCTGTTAGACCAGATATAAACGGACAATTCTTTATTCATATGAATGGCACCCCTGTAACTCGCTATCAATTTTCTGCGGTGCTTCAAAAGAGTTTATCTCGAACAAAATTTGGGTCAGAAAAATATAAAAGCCATAGCTTTAGAATTGGTAGGGCTACTCAACTAGCTTCGTCTGGGCTGCCGGAAACGGAAATAATGAAGTTGGGCCGTTGGAACTCGACAGCTTATTTAACTTATATAAGAGTAAACACACAAAATTAGAATATTATTTATAGGGCACTTATCATTTCATTCCAGATATTTGGTTTCTTGGGGATTCATTACCATATTGGGCCGGCGTCAGAGCGCAGTTTAGAAATACACCCAATCTAAGTCTTCCCGACGGACATAGCATTGCTTGGTGGGGCATTCGAGGATTGGGATGGGAAGATTTCATTCATTGTGTCCAACTACCTGTGGTTTTTCGAACACCGCCAAAGGTTGTATTTTTTCATTTAGGCGGCAATGACCTTACTAAGCATTCATTACGCTTCATATTTAAAATGGTGCAGGAAAGCATCCAATATATTACATCCGCTTTTCCCGACTCTGAATTCGTCTGGGTCGATATTTTGCAGCGTATTGATTGGGGTGTTGGAAATGACGAAAAACGTCTTATAGAAAAGAAAAGAAAACGCGTAAACCAATTTGGGCGCAAAATAATTAGGCTAACAAAAAACCATCATTGTATACGTTTCGATATCGACGAAAGTACACCGGGATTTTTTAGGAGCGATGGCGTTCATCTATCCGACGTCGGCCTTGATATGTACATTGACACAATCCGGGAAACTTTATTGAAAATATTGTAATAAGAATTTTGGGGAAATAAATAATAATTTATTCTGTGGCGGAAAATTCTTTTCTTAGGTGCGACCAGGAGTCACTTGCTACAATTTGCTAGTGTCTTTCATACAGGGAGATAAAAAATTCACATTGCATACCTATGGTCGTGGAATATTCCATAGTGGTTGTCTGTGGGTAGACTGCGATCTGTAGGATTCAAAATTACTTATTTGGTTTAAATGGGCCTTCAAGAACTGGCCAGATAGCTATGACTAGGCGTTCTTTGATGAGCTCTAATTTTGTTAGGCCTATCTTATGTTAAGCACTGTATAACTATGTTGCACTGGTGGTTATATCAGGTACTGCGGAGTACCTTGCTTGCTGGTTATATTAGGTACGGCGGAGTACCTTGCTTGCTGGTTATATTGGGTACGGCGGAGTACCTTGGCTACTGGTTATATTAGGTACAGCGGAGTACCTTGGCTGCCGGTTATATTAGGTACGGCGGAGTACCATGTTTGCTGGTTATATTGGGTACGGCGGTGTACCTTCTTAGCATACTATATATATCGCCAGGCGGCGGCTATCATTACAAAATAATAGTGCAATAGGGGTAGGGATCTATTTGGGCGTACGGCATATCGCTCCTGGTCGCACCTTTTATCTCCTATAGTGGTAGTCTGTAGGTAGATCAATTTAATCTTCATTAGTGGTTGTCTGATGAAGATTCATCGCGCTGTCATGACCGATTCCGCCATTTTTCACAAACCAACTGAAAATACTTAATAATATGTTTTTATTGATGAAATGTCTGATGACGTGCCTCGTTACATAAATAGAATATAAACAGTTTGTTGTTGTTTGTTTGTTAACTATAAACTACTGAGTCCTAGAATAATCAAGATTAATTCTTAATATTAATCTACTTTATTATGGCTCAGTGACATGTCCATAACCTATAAAGCATTTTAGTCTGGCCTTAAGTACACGCCCAAAATCTCGCGCCGGGAGAAGTAAGTCATTATGACGTATCAAGTCATATATAAAGGCGATCATTTCGGTATTCGCCCTCTTTTTCTCGACAAAGCAGTAAGCAAAAAACCCACCCACCGCACCCAGAAGTATCATGTTATCTGTTTTCATATCTTAGTATTTGATGTTTTATGAAATTGTTGAAGTCCAAATGGTGCTGCTTAGCTTTTATATTTCAGTATGTTTCTGGCTGTAACTGCGCCCGTACTGCTGACTTTAGGGAGGCACGCTAAACGTTAAATGGACGAATATACACAATGAACAGCCATGCCGGAGTTCCATAGCAGCATTCACCGGACTGATTGTACTAACGACTTGTGTAAAACTATCCTAGACAAGGATCAACAATGTTTACTATTTGTACATATGTGTTTATTAACAATATACGCCGGGATTCAAGAATGAACAAACAATTTGAACAAAGTGCAGCACCCTTTGGTCGGAGAGTACTAACGACTTTGTTAATTATAATTGTGTAAAATCGAGCGTGTTAAACCATCCTAGACAAGGATAAACAGTTTATTTCAATACATATGTGTTTAATTACAAACTTAAGTTGGAGACAGGCATATATATTAACAGCGTTTACAAAACAATAGTTTTCATACTTTATTTATTGTTATGACAGCGGAAAATTCTTTTCTTAGGTGCGACCAGGAGTCACTTGCTACAATTTGCTAGTGTCTTTCATACAGGGAGATAAAAAATTCACATTGCATACCTATGGTCGTGGAATATTCCATAGTGGTTGTCTGTGGGTAGACTGCGATCTGTAGGATTCAAAATTACTTATTTGGTTTAAATGGGCCTTCAAGAACTGGCCAGATAGCTATGACTAGGCGTTCTTTGATGAGCTCTAATTTTGTTAGGCCTATCTTATGTTAAGCACTGTATAACTATGTTGCACTGGTGGTTATATCAGGTACTGCGGAGTACCTTGCTTGCTGGTTATATTAGGTACGGCGGAGTACCTTGCTTGCTGGTTATATTGGGTACGGCGGAGTACCTTGGCTACTGGTTATATTAGGTACAGCGGAGTACCTTGGCTGCTGGTTATATTAGGTACGGCGGAGTACCTTGTTTGCTGGTTATATTGGGTACGGCGGTGTACCTTCTTAGCATACTATATATATCGCCAGGCGGCGGCTATCATTACAAAATAATAGTGCAATAGGGGTAGGGATCTATTTGGGCGTACGGCATATCGCTCCTGGTCGCACCTTTTATCTCCTATAGTGGTAGTCTGTAGGTAGATCAATTTAATCTTCATTAGTGGTTGTCTGATGAAGATTCATCGCGCTGTCATGACCGATTCCGCCATTTTTCACAAACCAACTGAAAATACTTAATAATATGTTTTTATTGATGAAATGTCTGATGACGTGCCTCGTTACATAAATAGAATATAAACAGTTTGTTGTTGTTTGTTTGTTAACTATAAACTACTGAGTCCTAGAATAATATGTATGTACTTAAAAAAAGAACACCAAAATACAAAATCTACTGGATGATAGTGAGACAAATTCACAGTACTAAATAGGTCACTGTCAGTTGACATTATTTTGGCTGAAAACTGAAAAAAGTGTTTGGTTATTTTAACCTCAAAACCTTTTAAAAGATATCACCATTTGTTACATACATATGCATGTATTGAGTTATTGCGCCAATATTAGCATCACATTTAGCATGGCGTGCCTTTTTATATGTTATTATATTGACATCATTATATGAGTTGACTTCCGATTATCAAAAATTAAACAACATTATTGAAGAACCAGTGCAATCTTTGTTTATTTAGTGTTTACACAACACCATTGCTGGTAACATTATATGAGCCGCGTCACGACAAAACCGACATAATGAGTTTGCGACCAGCATGGATCCAGACCAGCCTGCTCATCCGCGCAGTCTGATCAGGATCCATGCTGTTCGCTATCAGTTTTTCTACTTGATATATGGATGTAAGCGAACAGCATGGATCCTGATCAGACTGCGCGGAGGCTGGTCTGGATCCATGCTGGTCGCAAACCCATTTTGTTGGTTTTGTCGTGACACGTCTCATATATTGTGAACTGTTCTTACTTTGCAGTAGTGATACGACAGAAATCCAGGAATGTTGTCAGACCACTCTACAAAGCTTTAATCACTGTATGTTCTACGAGCCTGTCAGTTACAGTGATGACCTCTCCGAGGAGAACATTCACTACATGGAAGATGATATTGTCTTCAAGATTGTTGTTATTTGTATAGCTACTGTCTATATATTACAGAAGAGAGGTATGTAGAGCAAAAAAAAAATAAATTTTAGTGTATATAGTTACTATCTATTTCACAAAGTTTAATGACCTCCTTTGACATTGCATCATTTATATATAGTTTTATATACACAGCTGCTGTCAATTTATGAAGAAAGTTCACTTTGATAAACTTTGTGAAATAGGTAGTTATTAATTAATTGTTCCCAGAGTGGTTTCTAAATTTCAGTGGTATGGCAACTAAAAATGTGTCACATATGATAATTTGTTCTTACACAGTCCAATAAAAAAAGTTTGTTTTTTCATCGGACATGTAAAATATTTAGGTTTAAATTGTGCACAATTTTTGTTTGTAATTTGTTTATTTCTTACATTGTAGGTTCTCGGAAAGTAACTGCAGCTATAGCATTTCTGTTGGCACTCTTCTCCCATATTCTAAATCATGTTGTCATACGACTTCAAGGAGCTTTATATGAAAAGGAAAATCCAAATAAAATATTACAGTCAAACACCCAACGTTACAGTGAGTACATGTAAAATTATCAATATTCTTACAGTGAGTACATGTAAAATTATCAATATTCTTACAGTGAGTACATGTAAAATTATCAATATTCTTAAAAAATTTATTGTAAATACTTTTAAAATTATCATTATTTCTTGAATACTATTTAATTGAAAGATAATAATTGCCTCAATATACAAATAATACATGAATGAACTTTTAATGGTTTGTCTTAGTTTAAAGTGTTAACTTAACATATACGGTTTATCCCAATTGTAATCAACGTTTCTGGCTGCACTAATAGTTAACAAATGTTAAATGTTTTATTTTGAGGATTGAATGTTCCTGAAATATGTGTGGCTGGAAATCTGATGTCTTCGTTGAACAGTGAAGCTGAAAATTTTCCTTACTGCGATTAACATGGACAGTATGACTTGAAAATCACCAAAATTTGGTCTCATAATGTGAACTGCTCATTACTAAGTAATAAAGTGTTTTTTTTCATGGTCAAATGAGCATAATGGTTTTGCGAATAGCATGGATCCAGACCAGCCTGCGCTTCTGCGCAGTCTGAACAGGATCCATGCTGTTCGCTTACAAACTCTATAACAAGTAGAGAAACCGATAGCGAACAGCATGGATCCTGATCAGACTGCGCGGATGCGCAGGCTGGTCTGGATCCATGCTGGTCGCAAACGCATTATGTTGGTTTTGTCATGACACGGCTCAAATTTATTTATTTTATTACTTTTACAGATGAACTTAATGGGGAGGATTCCGAGAGTGATAAAAGTTCATCTCTAACTGATACCTCATCATTGAAGAATGGTCATGTTAAACGTGGTAATTTTATTCCAAATCAAAACAGTGATGGGGAAAATAAACCTCAGCTACCAAAGGTATGTTAAATGTGAACTATCTGATATTTTTCATGCTTGAAGAAGCATATTAGGTCTGTAGTTTGTCCTTTCATCAATCGTAATATGTTTATTTATTGACTGATGTCTTAGATATTTGGTGTGTAGGTACCTTTCATAGACAAATTTTGTATAGCCAGCTACAGAGAAGTGGTGCAATTTTATCCAAAGTTTATAGGAATGATAAGTATCAAGTTCAGTTGGGCTTACCATCAGCATTTCCCAGTTCAATAATTTTTGTCAGGTTTATGGCTCATTAAATATTTTAATTTTTTATTTTTTGTCAAGACTACTTCTCGTATTCTATTAATGCAATTTGAGTGAGACTGCAGCAGGAGTGATCAGTAGTGAGGCTATATTATTTTGTTGACATCAAGGAATATCCATCATTGGTTACTGACATACTTGTTTTCATTGTGAATTAAGTGAACAGATAGAGTAAATTTATAAATTGCAAAGTATTTTTCTGTGTCCTATCCATTTTAATCAATGACAAAAATTGATGATATATCCAAACACTAAACTTCAATAACTTAACAATAAGTCTATTACAGAAATTCATCAGGATAAAGTCTTAAGAAATTTTGATGATAACTAATTGTTATTCTTGTGTTTATCCTGAACATTTGTATCTATATTTAGAAACAGAAGAAATCCAAAGTTAGAAATTTACGTCGTCGTAGACCTCGTTCCTCTAAAGCAGTAGTCAGTGATGATTCTGATCTCTCGGATATTTCCGACCTTAGTGAAGGTATGTATCCTTTTAACTCATTTAAACATAACATACATGGATGCTTCAGTGTTGTTATACGTTTCTGGTCCTTCGAGACCATTGAAAATTGAGTACCGCTCAAGCTGTGAGGGGGCTTGAGGGATGTTGCACATTTTCGTTATCCTTCATGTACAGAGTCAATCAAACCGAGTCTGCAATTTTCATGTAATTTTGTTGTGATAAATGCTGGTCCTGAATCAGTTTCATAATTTTGTGTCCTTAACATTACACATACATTTTTAGCTCGACTTTTCTATGAAAAGGGGAGCTATCCTACTCGCCCCGGCGTCGGCGTTAGCGTTGGCGTCACACCTTGGTTAAGTTTTTCGTACCACCCCACTTTATTTCAGAAGTATTACAAGTATGGCTTTGAAACTTACCATACTTGTTCACCATCATAACCTCCATCTACAGACAAGAGTACATAACTCTGTCAAGGTTTTTGACAGAATTATGGCCCTTTTTTGACTTAGAAAGTGTATTGAGCTTGGTTAAGTTTTTTGTACCACCTCACTTTATTTCAAAACCATTGGAGGTATTGCTTTGAAACTGACCATACTTGTTTACCATCACGACCTTCATCAACAGACAAGAGGACATAACTCTGTCAAGGTTTTTGACAGAATTATGCCCCTTTTTGACTTAGAAAATACATTGAATATGGGTAAAATCCACTTATTGCCTTAACCCTTTGAGATATTGCTTTGAAACTTTTAATGCTATTTCACATCATTACCCCCATCTGTACGCAAGAGAAGGTAACTCTGTCAAGGATTTGTTTTAAAAATTAAGGCCTTTTATCGACTTAGAATCTTGGTTAAGTTTTTAGTACCAGTCCACTTTTTGACTGAACTGTTTGAGATATTAATTTGAAAGTTGGAATACTTGTTTACCATCATGGTCCCAAAACATGGGCAGGAGAAGGTAATTCTGTTAAGGATTTTATTTGAATTATGGCCCTTTTTGACTTAGAAACTCAGTTAAGATTTTCATTCTTGTCCACTTGTTGACTTAACCATTTGAGATATTACTTTGGAAGTTGGAGTTCTTATGTGCCATCATGAGACCTATCTGTAAGCAAGAGAAGATAACTCTGTGAAAATGTTTCTTGATTTGTACTTAGAAATTCCTAGTTAAAGTCTTGTGTGCCCTTAACTGTCAAAGTTTTGTTTTATAGGCAAGCACTAAAAAAGTCGAGCGCGCTGTCCTTCTGACAGCTCTTGTTGTATTCCTGGTAAATAGAGTAAATATAGACAGTATGTCTAATTTGAATACATTAACAACTTGTGGTTCAGGTAAATTTCAAGGGGCAAATGTTCCAGTTACTAGTTGAGAAAAGGACCTGTACACTACAAAAAACACTGCAGGATCACAGGCATGAATTATGATTTGCTTAATTATGACCCATAAATTAAACAAAGAAATATTGTTGAACACATATAATAAGGGTTTAACACAGACAATAAAATTTAAAAAATTTATCACTGGGAAGTATTTCAATGAAGAAAAAACTCAAATATATTTGTAACTTTTTGATAGGATGCAAACTCTGTTTTGTAACTTCTAACTTCTCATAGCTAACTTATTTCATTGATATTCAAATACATTGGCATGCACTGAATTAACACTTGGCATTAAAATTTTCTTTATATTCAGGTGGTGATGAACTGAGAGACGATCTGTCTGACGAGTCAGAAGAAGAACCTCTTGGTTTCTATGACGATTCAGACTCAGACATGTCTGACTCCTTTATGAAGAGTCAAGAACTTGACCCAGGTTTTGCCACAAACCCAGATGCTGAAAATACCAACAGTGCCATTGAATCTACAATCAATAAACAAAACACAGACTTTCTGCCGCCCGTTTTTCAGAGCTCAGAACAAAGTAAAATCTGGTCAGATATTACGAGAACCGATAGCTTGGCTACATTTTCATCAGAATTATTTTCATCTTCCGTGCCTTTTCTCGGAGGGGCTTTAAAACTATCTCAACAGACAGATGGTGTGGATAGCGATGTTATTCAGGGCCGGAAACAAGTGCCTGTACCACCTGGTTTTGCTGCATCTTCGGAAGCGAAACACGTGGAAGAAATATCTCAGAAACTTGCCAACTTTGTGATAGAAACTGACACTGAGACTTCAATAACAGCAACAGAAGCAGGTAGGCAAGGCTGTTTAGTTAATGTAAAATATTATTTCTATAAAAGACTGAAATCCAAAAGATTCAGTACATTATATTTTTACATACTGTTTACAGATTATAGTGTTCGGGATTTTAAATATTGAGACAATAATGGACACAAAGACAAGATGCTCATGTGACAATAATTTTGTTTTTTCTTCCATCATGTTCTCAATTTTGGAAGTTGCAACTTGAAGTGTAGTACCTTTTTAAAACTTTTCAATAGGTTTTAAAGGGGAGTCCGTGGCCGAGTGGTTAAGGTCGTTTGGATTCTTTCCTGTGAGGAAGCTATCCAGCTAGCTTATGGAACGTCGGTGGTTCTACTCAGGTGCCCGTTCGTGCCAGAAATAATGCACGGAAGGGCACCTGAGGTCTTCCTCCACCAGTAAAGCTGGAACGTCGCGATATGACCTATACTGTGTCAATGTGATGTAAAACCCAAAACAAACAAACACATAGGTTTTGTAGATGTACTAGCCCATTTATCATACATGATAAGGAATGTAACTTCCAAGCTTGTTATTAATACTAATAAAAATTATGACATTGTCATAGAAACTGTATCAGTATATTTTGTCGTACTTTCAGAGTTTTCAGGAGAGTCGGATGAGAAGATGGTGCCGGTGATGTTAGCAGTAGCGAGGAAAATGATAAAATCAGGTATACCCAAAATACAAATACATTTTAAAATTCACGGATGCTTATATAACTACAATTAAAATGAAAGAAAGAGGACAGCGCAAACTTTGGTTAGATTCTTTAGGGGACTCAGATTTCTCTTTCTAGCCCCTTTTCAATGGAACCAAAATTGAACCTTTCCAATGTCTCTTTACAAGTTGCTGTAGGCCAGCTATCATGCTATAACAGTATTTTATATCAATATTCTTCTGATATACTACTAAACACAGTTGTTTAATAAATGTTGATTGTTAAAATTTGAAGGAAAAAAAAATCAACCTTTTTCTATAGTATGTCAAAATTGTTAAATTAATGAATTGAATTTTCCCGTAAAATATGAACCGAAGCAAAATAAGTAATATTTTGTAAGATTGAGTATTTTAACCTTAAAATATTTTCACCAACATGTTAACCTTAAAACATATACACCAAACTGTTACCTTGAAATATATTCACCAAAATGTTAACCTTAAAACATATTCACCAAAGTGTTAACTTTAAAATATATTCACCAGAATGTCAACTTTAAAAATATTTTCACCTAAACATTTACCTTTAAATGTTTCCACCAACATATTAACTTTAAAATATATTCAGCAGAATGTCAACTTTAAGATATTTTCACCTTAACATTTACCTTTAAATGTTTCCACCAACATATTAACTATAAAATATTTTCACCAGAATATTAACCTTTAGATATTTTCAACAAAGTGTCAACCTTAAAATATTTTCACCAAAATGTTAACCTTAAAATATTTTCACCAAAATGTTAACCTTAAAATATTTTCACCAACATACCTTAGAATATTTTAAATGGGTGATTTTTTACATATAGGTCTTCAGAGGAGGAAAAAGAGGCGGTGCATCAGCAGAATGTGGTCAATGTGATACAGGGGGAGGGGCTTCTCTCAGTCATTAAGGTGATGTGTGATTGGATGATGTGTAACTCCTCAGTAATCATGACATGTGCTCAGGTAAGAATATATAATGGTTACAAAAGCTAGACAAGTTGAATAATGAATCTGCATAACTTCTAGTTTATGATCCAGTCTGCCTGCTCTGCTTGATAGAGAAAGCATCAGAATTGTAATTCAGGGGTTGCTGGTTCGGTCCTAGGGAAAGGTGAAATTTCTCCATGACAAATGATCTCAGACATTGAGTCTAATAGTGATTTATCTTTAACCTCATATTCAGAAATCATGAGGGATAAGTGATCAGTCAGTTGTTAAGAAATTGGCAGTAACTGGTTAGTTAGTTAGTTAGTTATTCAGGAAAACTGGTTAGGTGTATAGAGTTTGCATGAAAATATTAGCCATATCATATAAAGGAAAAGGGAGCTGTGGCCTAGAGGTTAAAATGTCTACCTCTAAACCAAGTGATTAAAGGTTAAAGCCGTACAAACATGTTTCCACATATGACACATGTACTAGTTGGTGCCAGGATGTAGAATCAAAAGTGATTAATGTAAGTTACAAAACTTTATAATATAATTGAGCTGCATCACGACAAAACCAACATAATGGGTTTGCGACATGCATGAATCCAGACCAGCCTGCGCATCCGCGCAGTCTGATCAGGATCCATGCTGTTCGCTATCAGTTTCTCTACTTGTTATAGGGTTTGTAAGTGAACAGCATGGATCCTGATCAGACTCCGCGGATGCGCAGGCTGGTCTAGAGCCATGCTAGTCACAAATTATGTTGGTTTTGTCATGACGCGGCTCAATTATGTTCGTTATATTATATTCCAGAGTTCCCAGTCTGTCTGGTGTAGATTATCTGTACTGCTGAATTTTTTGCCTCATGAATCATCATTCCTATCTCATGGTATGTATATTAATTGATGATTAAGTTTTTTTGATTTTTTTTATATAAATATTACGCTTTTCTTTTTTCATCTCATATGGTTGATGGTTCAATTATTTACTTGTTTAAATCTAGAAGTATTTCGAAAATGGCACAAATAGCTTCTTATTTTAGCCAGAAAGGTTCAAGACTTGAAAGCTGGAGACCAGTTCTTATTATAGCCCTATGCAAATATGTTCAGGACTGGTAGGCCAAAGGTCAGTTTATATTTCTTGCTACGGAGAACGGCTCCGGACTTGTATGGCAAAGGATACTATAGTTCAAGGACTGGTCATAACAAAATGGCTGGATTGTGTGTTATGCTATTGTGTCTGTGGGTGACATCTCTGAACCTTCAATATAAAATTGGGCAATTTAGCTTACTGCAGGAAGTAGACCTTAAAAAAATGATGTGAGAGTGTTGATTTTAAGTACAGAAAAGAAAATTTCTGAAGAAGACTCAAGTCAAAAGCTAAAAAAAGCGTTTTTTGTTTGTTTTTTGTTGTTGTTTTTTTTACAGATTATATATGATATCAAAGTACGCAAATCAGGTAAGATAAGTTTATTATTGGTCAAATATTGATTTGAAACCTTGATTTCATCATCAGAAATTCTATTTTTAGATCAGTGCTGGCAGGATGAATTGCGGTCAGTCTTAAAGGAGTCAAAGTCTGGAGACTGGAAACAGAAAATACCTTTACGTGAAGACATAAATCTAACAAAATTTCCACCTCTAAAACATGTACAAGAAGAGCTTGACAGAAAAATGAACGTGAAACTCACCGACTTACAGGAGGTGTGTATACTGACTTTATATTTGATACTAACCATGCTAAAGATTTTAAGTGAACTTGTCTGTCTTTCAATATGGACATAGCCATTTATTTATTTTAGGGAGAATTTCAAATATGCTTCCACTGATAGGCAAACATTGCAGACCATGATAAGATGGTATGGAATGTGCTGTCTGATCTTAATTTGGTTCTGGTTCTGTGAAAATAAGATTTCTTTAGGGGACAATATTGGACATTGAAGTGTGGAGGCTTTCAAAACTGTTGTCCAGTATTGATAATTCAGGTACATGTAAAAGCTAAGTAATAGCTATCCATTTGCTTGTAAATAAAGATTCTAATTTATTTGTTCAATTTTTTTATCATTCCTTGCTGGTATAATGTTTTAAAAAGTGTTTTTAACTTTAAACATTATGATAATTTGTGAAAATTTTCAGAGCTTCTTGAGAACATGTTGCCTTAGACAGTTTGGTTACTTTTTATCTGGTCTAGAGGGTTTACAGTTTACTTATAATATAGAGAAGAAGCTTTTCATTGGTCCAGCTCAGCCAATCAGCATTGACGAAACAGAAGAGGTGGCCATGGAGAAAATGGTATAAAACTATTTTTATACCCCCGCACAACAAAGTTGTAAGGGGGGTATACTGGAATCAGCTTGTCCGGCCGTCCGGCCGTCCGGCCGTCCGTCGGTTTTTTCTTGTCCGCCCAATAACTTAAGATTCCTTTGACCCTTAGTCTTCATATTTGGCATGGAGGTTAGTCATGATTAGTAAATGACCCCTATTGATTTTGAGGTCACTAGGTCAAAGGTCAAGGTCACAGGGGCCTTGACTTCAAAAAGCTTGTCCGCCCAATAACTTAAGATTCCTTTGACCCTTAGTCTTCATATTTGGCATGGAGGTTAGTCATGATTAGTAGATGACCCCTATTGATTTTGAGGTCACTAGGTCAAAGGTCAAGGTCACAGGGGCCTTGACTTCAAAAAGCTTGTCCGCCCAATAACTTAAGTTTCCTTTGACCCTTAGTCTTCATATTTGGCATGGAGGTTAGTCATGATTAGTAGATGACCCCTATTGATTTTGAGGTCACTAGGTCAAAGGTCAAGGTCACAGGGGCCTTGACTTCAAAAAGCTTGTCCGCCCAATAACTTAAGATTCCTTTGACCCTTAGTCTTCATATTTGGCATGGAGGTTAGTCATGATTAGTAGATGACCCCTATTGATTTTGAGGTCACTAGGTCAAAGGTCAAGGTCACAGGGGCCTTGACTTCAAAAAGCTTGTCTGCCCAATAACTTAAGTTTCCTTTGACCCTTAGTCTTCATATTTGGCATGGAGGTTAGTCATGATTAGTAGATGACCCCTATTGATTTTGAGGTCACTAGGTCAAAGGTCAAGGTCACAGGGGCCTTGACTTCAAAAAGCTTGTCCGCCCAATAACTTAAGATTCCTTTGACCCTTAGTCTTCATATTTGGCATGGAGGTTAGTCATGATAAGTAGATGATCCCTATTGATTTTGAGGTCACTAGGTCAAAGGTCAAGGTCACAGGGGCCTTGACTTCAAAAAGTTTGTCCGCCCAATAACTTAAGATTCCTTTGACCCTTAGTCTTCATATTTGGCATGGAGGTTAGTCATGATTAGTAGATGATCCCTATTGATTTTGAGGTCACTAGGTCAAAGGTCAAGGTCACAGGGGCCTTGACTTTAAAAAGCTTGTCCGCCCAATAACTTAAGATTCCTTTGACCCTTAGTCTTCATATTTGGCATGGAGGTTAGTCATGATTAGTAGATGACCCCTATTGATTTTGAGGTCACTAGGTCAAAGGTCAAGGTCACAGGGGCCTTGACTTCAAAAAGCTTGTCCGCCCAATAACTTAAGATTCCTTTGACCCTTAGTCTTCATATTTGGCATGGAGGTTAGTCATGATTAGTAGATGACCTCTATTGATTTTGAGGTCACCAGGTCAAAGGTCAAGGTCACAGGGACTTTGACTTCAAAAAGTTTGTCTGCCCAATAACTTTAGATTCCTTTGACCCACAGTCTTCATATTTGGTATGGATGTTGATCATGACTATAAGGTGACCCCTATTGATTTTGAGGTCACTGGGTCAAAGGTCAAGGTCACAGGGACCTTGACAAAAAAAAGCTTTTCTTTTCAATTGCTAAAGAATGTCCTGTCCGCAATGTATTGATTTTGACATTTTCACATTTGAAGCATGTAGAATACATAACTTAGCAATGCACTGGCTTAGTAACCTCAGATTTGGCAGGGAGGTTGTCCTTGAGCTCTAAATGGCCACTGTTGATTCTGACAAAGTGGTATGCGGGGGTATTCACGCCATGATAGTGGCAGTTCTAGTTATTATTGTTAGACTTTAATTCTAAGAAGGCTCCCTATTGTTACTGGCAATATTGACTTGTTTATGTCACCATTATTAAGCTAGGCCCGTCTGCTCATCTCGTGCAGGTGTGACCATACTGGTAGCTTTAAGCATTTTAATTATAAATGTTCGTTACATTTATAGCGGAACAATGTCTGTTTCAAATTGATATCAAGAGCCCTCACATTAACAATTGTAAAAACTGTATGTTAACTGTTTAGCAGAAACCTGGCCTCACAACTATTGTGAACAGTTACCCTCAAGCCAGATATTACAATGTCAATATCTGCTGTTTGGTAATATTCTTATATAATATTCACCTTTTTTTCATGCTTTAGATTGATACATTTTATTTAAATGATATGACTATATTTGATTATTTTAATGCAAATTGGGGTCTAAAATTTTTTTAATAAATTTTCTATAATCAGCCTGTGTTGATTTGAAGCGATCTAATTTTGCCAAACTTTATTAATGATTTCCTATGAAAGTGAATTTCAGGGGAAGTAACTTAAGTTAATTTTCTTATTCCCTATACCACTCTGGGTGGTTGTGTCTATTGTCATGCTGTCCCACTGTCTGTCTGTGGACAGATTTGTGTTGTGTTTAAGTTCTAGAGCTGTGAAACTTTCTAACTATACTGCTCAGCATTTGAACTGATGCATCTGAAGCATAGGTGCCAGACATATAACACCCCCTCCCACCCTACTCCTATATATATGATAAACATGCTTATTATACCCCCACCACAAAATGTGGGGGGGGCTATAATGGATTCGCTTTGTCGCGTCGGTCGGTCGGTCGGTCGGTCGGTCCGTCCGTCTCCATTTTCGTGTCCGCTCTATAACTCCTATACCACTTGAAGGATTTTCTTCAAACTTGGCTCAAATGTTCACCTCAGCAAGGGGATGTGCAGAACCCATGTTGCCCATGTGTCAGCTCAAGGTCAAGGTCACAATTGAAGGTCAAATATCAAACACAATCATATATTAGACAGTATGTCGTGTCCGCTCTGTAGATCCTACAATAATTGAAAGATTTTCTTCAAACTTGGCTAAAATGTTCACCTCAATAAGGGAATGTGCAGAACTCACGTTGCCCATGTGTCATTTTAAGGTCAAGGTCACAATTGAAGGTCAAATATCAAACAATCAAATATTGCACAATATGTCGTGTCCGCTCTGTAAGTCCTACACTAATTGAAAGATTTTCTTCAAACTTGGCTCAAATGTTCATTTCAACAATGGGATGTGCAGAACCCATGTTGCCCATGTGTCAGCTCAAGGTCAAGGTCACAATTGAAGGTCAAATATCAAACAATCAAATATTACACAGTATGTCGTGTCCGCTCTGTAAGTCCTACACTTATTGAAAGATTTTCTTCAAACTTGGCTCAAATGTTCACCTCAACAAGGTTATGTGCAGAACCTATGTCACTCTTTTGCCGGCTTAAGGTCAAGGTCACACTTGAAGGTCAAAAATTGACTTAGAAAATGTTCTTTAATTTTAACATATATCTGAATATTTCTGAATCTAGAAAAGGTATTTGCTTGAAACTTAAAATATAAATGAAGTGTCACAATTAAGATATGCTGGTCAAGTTTCATAACTCTGTATTGCATTTAACAAAGTTATGCCCCTTTTTAATCTTCAAATTTACATACAATCACATATTAGACAATATGTTGTGTCCGCTCTATAAATCCTTTACTAATGGAAGAATTTTCTTCAAACTTTTCTCAAATGTTCACCTAAACAAGGTTATGTGCAGAATCCATGTCACCTTTGTGCAGGCTAAAGGTCAAGGTCAGACTTGAAGGTCAAAAATTGACTTAGAAAATGTTCTTAGATTAAAACATGTTTTTGAAATTATTTCGGAAACTAGCATAGGTATTTGCTTGAAACTTAAAAGATATATGAGGTGTCGCAATTACGATATGCAGGTCAAGTTTCATAACTCTGTATTGCATTTTGACAAAGTTATCCCCCTTTTTAAGTCTTTAAATTTACATACAATCAATACTAGACAATATGTTGTGTCCGCTCTATAAATTCTATACTAATGGAAGGATTTTCTTCAAACTTTACTCAAATGTTCTCTCCAATTGGGCGATGTGCAGAACCCATCATACCCTTGTGCCAGCTGAAGGTCAAGGCCACACTTGAAGGTCAAAAATTGACTTATAAAAGTTTAGTATATTGGGAAAATGAAAGGTTATTTGTAACTGTTTCGAACATGATTTGATAATAGATATTTTTACTATTACCTGTACAATTAGTCTTTTTTTCACCAGAGATAATTTCTTTTTATGTATTTGTGCCACTTAAGTTATTCCCTTAACCACCTTTCCAAGTTGTCTTCTGTCAAGGACATTGGTGGGGGTATGAATCGCATTCAGCGATAGTTCTAGTTATAGATATAATAAGGGGCTACTAGACCTCAGGCACCTGTGATCTGAAGCAGATTTTAAGTTGATCAGCAATGGTTTAGTACTGAGCATAGTCAAGGACACTGTCCCACTAGCATGTCTTGTATATAGTATTTTTACTAATTTGAATTAATTGTTAATACAGGCAGATACAGAGAGTCGAAGAAATCAACTTATGAGAGATATGGCCCAGCTTAGATTGCAGGTATAACATATATTAGTTGATTTTGTAAAAACTCCGGGAACGCTTTACCAATATCGCCCAATGCATAGCTTAGTAGATTAAAACAGGCAGATCCAATGATAAATAGTTAATGGCAATTTCCTTTTTTTCTATCATGTGTATATATAGATCAATTATATTTGATATATAGATTTAACCGGTTCTGGTTCAAATTTGATAAAGAAGTTAATTAATTCACTAAATTCATAATGCATGTAACATTTCTATTGTAACGTAACAGTTGTATGGCATTATTACATGTATTTTATCTTTTGGTTATGTATGGTTACAAAAACAAGATATTATGGTTGTATATTTGTATGGTTCTGCTATACCATGTCATATTATATTTCATTTTCCAGCTTGTCTGTTTCAAAGAAAAAGTTAATCTATTTTGAGTGCTGTGGCATTGTCATTGTTGTCATTGTCATCATGCAAAAATGTTATTGTAATTCGTTATACAAACATTTTAAAATGTATCAACATGAAACTTGGAATACTTAGCCTTAACACTGCATGCCATGCTCTTGTGCACTGCATACTATTAGAATAACCAAAAAAATGCTAAGTAGACGAATGTCTGTTTAGATCTGTGCATGCTCTATTTATGAATATAATTTTATCTTCAGTGTTATGTATATATTTCAGGCTGAAGTAAGTGAGTTGGAGGGAAGTTTGTCGATGACAGACTCTGTGCCTTTTCCACCGTACCTCATTCCAGATACGTCAAGTCTGTGTGCTGCATTACCCTCTATCAAGAAGCTCAGTCAGACTAACAGAAGCATTATTGTGATACCTCTAGCTGGTTAGATTATGTTTTTAAGATATTTACTAAATTTTTATAAAAAAATTATCTGAACGTTGAAACTTGATACTTTAATATATGAAATGGACTTGTCCAGCTGTTAACCTTTAACCTGCTGATTTTCAACCGTTACCACCTAAAAGATTTTATATGGACTTTTCCAATTTTAGCTGGGCTATTTGAAGAAAAGGGAGAGGTACTGTACTCACCCAGGTGTCCATGACATTAAGTTTGTGCATGCAAGTTGATATCTCCAAAAGTTCTGAAGGGAATGGGTTGAAACTTCACACACTTATTGTAGAGCATAACAGGTTACTCTCCAAGGCCCATAACTCTAATTATATTCTGTCTGCAAATCAAACATTGCAGATTATGTTTAGATGGCACAGATGTGTGGGCTGATCTTGGGCTGGTTGCAAGGATAGAATCTGTTGCCACAAGCAGAATTCCCCAGCTTCCACTGTCCATAAATTATGGAGTGTATCAAGATGAAAAAATAAAGTAAGCAAACCAAGGGTGTACAGCCTGGTCTGACTGAACTTATGTACAAGCTAGTCTGACTCTATCTATATTGGTGGCAAAGGCTAATCAGCAGGGTAGGGATAAAGTAGAAAATATGCATTATTTTCATAATAAATTATAAATCAGAATGTTAAGCAACCAACAGTATGGAGTCTGATGAGACAGTGTAGCCTAGGCTGGTTTGACTCTTTAGTAAAGGAATTGGGGTATGCAATTATCATCCCAAGTGAAACCTGTATGACTGTATTATTTTGTATGGTTTTTTTTCAACAGTGATAGATAGCCTAGATCATCAGAAGAAGGAGAGTCATGGAGCTAGAGATGCTATACGCTGGCTGGAGGCGGAATTCAGGAAAGGCAATAGGTAAACTATACACTCCATTAGTAATATTTTTTAACAAGCATCTGTGTGATCGGAGTTGTTCATATTGCTGAATCTGAATCAACAGCCCCTTACAGCTTTGTTTTTGAAACCTGTCAAGACGTTTTTATTGTTAAATGTGAGGAAAATATTTAGCTAAAATGTGGCTAACAGTGAGAACTTCGAGGTCTTTTCTCGACCACTAAACCTTGGAGTCATATGACCTTTACAGTGCTGGTGCGATGTAAAACCCAACCAAAATAAAAATTTAAAAAGAGATGAAGTGATGGACGTGGAAAGTTTGTCCACTAGTAAAAGACATGGCACTAGTCTCTGCATTGCTTTTCTCTGAATATAGAAAATAGAAATTGATATTGTTTTTCACCAGTCTGATTTTTCCTGGATAAAGAGATTTTTAGGGTGTCGGGCTTCGAAAAACATTTCCAGAGTCACTCTTCCTACAGGACAAGTAGCTTCTAAATCCAATGTGCAGGCAACATATCTCTTCTCATCCTGCATCGAATTCTCTTAAGTTCTACTTGTAATTACGAGCGAACAAGTGGAATTTTTGATCTCTGTGTGTAAAAAGATAATTAAATGTATATGGAAACGTTGAAGATCATTTGACCTTTGCTTAATTGAATATGTTGCAGGCTTGGTTTAATTTAGTCTCTTTATGGACAGTTGTTGTTACTGCATGTTTAGGAGTAATTCTATCTTCTCTGTTTATCTCAGGTATATCCGAGCACAGAAGAACAGTGAGAAAATACCTGCAGCCAATACTCGACATTTAAAAAAAAAGTACAGGGATACATGGTATGTTTTATTAGGGAATACTAGCAAAATCTGTTGTATGGTTAAATAAAAAAATGCTATGAATTGTGAGATCATTTGATTAATATATATTTATGAATATAAAATATTTATTTGTGAAAACTTACGCATATAAATCTAAGAAGCAAAAAAAGTTTAAGGGCATTCCTAATAAACTTTGAAAATGTCCCACTAAATTGTATTTCTAAAATTAATTCGACTTGAATCGATAAAAAATACGATAATTTCAACACTATCTTTAATTGGCTAAAGCATGTGTTCTGCTTCACCAGTATTGAATCTTAAACCCTTGGTACAGTTTTAAAATGTGTCCAATTCTCATAAATTGATAAATACACGCTGATTTTTATGTTGACATGTCTTTTATCATATATTTAATGAATGAAATATTGAAAAATATTGAAGAAATAAAATGGATTATTTTTATTTTCCGTATATTCTCTGTGAAAATTTATATTTCACTGCAGTGAAACATATGTTCTGTATTTTCACTGGTGTCTTGCCAGACTACTTTTTTCTGACATTAGCCAGTGCACTTAAGTCAAAGAGAAGTCTTTCAAATTGTAATGTTAAAAAAGAGAAAAAGTAAATATAATGAACAGTAAATTTCAAGTTTTTTTCTTTATATACAAGATTTATTTTCATCTTGTGGTATGAAAAATATCATATTTCACAAGTGGCGGCAGAAAATAAATCTTATTTTAAAAAAACAACCTGAATATCCTCTTATACATGTATACAGATAAGGCTTAGGTATTCAGCACTTACTTGCGTGTACATTATATCTTTAAATGTCTTTAATGTTTTTACACCCTGTGACTGACATTAAGTGGAAAAGATTACCATGTTTCACAGACAGTGCTTCAATTTACATTTTGCATACAATTAACAGGTAGTGAATGTAACAAGTATCTGACACATTTTGATTGAAGTGATCCTGGCAGTTTTAACGCTGCAGTTAGGGTTTTTATAACATGATGAGGAAGATGCATTTAAACGATTCTGCTAACCTCAAACTTGAAATTTAATGTGACAGATTCTGTGAAGGAGTCATATTCTTAATTCAAGGAAATCAAAATTTAGTTAGACTGTACATGTATATATGTAAATGTATATGTAAATGTAAAACTTCAGGGTCAATGGTTTAAGGATGCTGATTTTATGTTAATCAACTTGCCACATTCCTGTCAGATTTTTATTTCTGATATGCTGTCATAAACTCATAGCAGTGTTAAATTATTTCATGTGAATATGTTATACAGCTTTTTTACAGAATGTACGTTGCTGAGGTGTCTGGTACAATTCAATATGGGGAACGGGGGAGGGGCTGCCCATGGGGTTCTCCTTTATGATTAAACTGTTGATGCCAAGTGACCTTATGGTGGTGTTATTTCTGTAATACATGTCAAACATACCTTGATAATTTTAAAAGTATAAATAAAACTGACATTTGTTTCAGAGAATCTTTCTTTAGCTTAGTGTTATGTTTGCTTGTAAGTTAGTCTTACAAGTTTAAACCCGTCTTTTTATGCCCCCACAATGTGGGAGCATATAGCATTGCACTTGTCCGTCCGTCAGTCCGTCCGTCCGTCAGTCTGTATGTCCCGAAATCTTGTGAACGCAACTCCTCTTAAACCGGATTGCAAATTTTGCTTAAACTTACAGGGATGAACAACATTAATGTGTAGATGGTAGTAAAGGAAGGAATTTTTGCTGCGACCAAATTTAACAGAATTATGGCCCTTTGTTGATTTTTTCACTATATACTATGTAGAAATTTTGTGAACGTAACTCCTCTTAAACCGGCTGGCAGATTTTGCTTAAACTTCCAGGGATGAACAACCTTAATGTGTAGATGGTAGTAAAGGAAGGAATTTTTGCTGCGACCAAATTTAACAGAATTATGGCCCTTTGTTGATTTTTTCACTATATACTACGTAGAAATTTTGTGAATGCAACTCCTCTTAAACCGGATGGCAGAATTTGCTTAAACTTCCAGGGATGAACAACCTTAATATGTAGATGATAGTAAAGGAAGGAATTTTTGCTGTGACCAAATTTTACAGAATTATAGCCCTTTGTTGATTTTTTCACTATATACTATATAGAAATTTTGTGAACACAACTCCTCTTAAACCGGATGGCAGATTTTGCTTAAACTTCCAGGGATGAACAACCTTAATGTGTAGATGGTAGTAAAGGAAGGAATTTTTGCTGCAACCAACTTTAACAGAATTATGGCCCTTTGTTGATTTTTTCATTATATACTTAGTAGAAATTTTGTGAACGCAACTCCTCTTAAACCGGGTGGCAGATTTTGCTTAAACTTCCAGGGATTAACAACCTTAATGTGTAGATGGCGGTAAAGGAAGGAATTTTTGCTGCGACCAAATTTAACAGAATTATGGCCCTTTGTTGATTTTAAGTTTTTCAACTTGTGGCACATGTAGTCCAAAAAATATTTGACCTAGAGTCATAAGATTGACAGAACAGTGGCGTGTGGGGGCATCCGTGTCCTATGGACACATTTCTAGTTTCTGTTGTATTTGCATTTTCCCCAATTTTACGTTATCAATAAATAATAATAAAAAAAGCTAATCAGAATATGTCATATTTATGTAATTTTCCCTTTGTATTATGCAGGTGTGCTCTGGAGATAGTGAATTGTGCCCTGTATTTATCAAGGCAAGGAGGTGACTTTGGTGCCGACACTGTCATCGCAATCCTCACATCTAGTGGATTTAATGCCATCAAAAATCCAGTCGTGAAGCAAACGCTGGCTACCAGTAAACAGGAAGGTAAGGGGAGAAGCAGTCAGATTGTGTCTGCATTGATATGTATTTGGGATGATTCTTTCTTGCATATCACACTTGCGTTTCAGTTAGTTTTACCCATGCCGGAAATGTCATCTGGCATGGGGGGTGCCAGATGAGTCGCTTACTGTACAATGGCATGCTTAGGATGCCATAATTTTACCGATATGGATAAAGTTGTAATTTCATACGATCTTGTAAGAAAATAGTAATGGGTGTAATGACATAAATTTCCATGGATAATTGTTTTATTAATGTAAAGAGTTTAAAATAGAATACAGTGTAACTTCCGAATTCCGGAACTTCTGAAATCCGGAAACTTCTAAAAACCGAACAATTTTTTCGGTCCCGATTTTTTCCCTTCTATTTTCTATTAATATAATACTTCTGAATTCCGGAACTTCTAAATTCTGAATTCCGGACGATATTTTCGTAAAATTAGAGTCAAATCAATGCAATTTTACCTCCGAAAACCGGAAATATCCAAAGGTGTGAAATACATTGGAAATCGAGAATGTTTACCCTGCAGGAAGATTTAATCTCCCTATCGATTGTTTACTAATTAGCGGTGATCGTGTAATTTGACACGCGTTAAAATCGCAAACTGTGAAATGGTATGTTTGAAGTGATGCGGTTAATCAAAGTAATTTACCGCGGTCAGTTAATTTGAAGTGTTTATTAGCGGATTAAATCACAATTAGTTGGGACAATGTATGCATCAAACGTCTATAGGGATTTTATTGTATTTGATGTAATAATTAATTAACTAGCATCGGACGATATGTAAGTTTATGTAATTAACAACATTTCTACAAACTGATAGAAATTCGAAAGCATTTTCAGGTGTAAGATAAAAATGTATTCTTTTCATTCACATCTTTATCTTGATTAAAAGACTATTATATATGATATTACAGTAATGGCCACATCTTCCTTGACATTTAGTGATTATTAAGTGGTTTAGTCTTGTCCACATTATCATAAACCTCTGAATTCCGGAAACCTCTGAAATCCGAACTTTTTGACAAGTCCCATGGGTGTTCGGTTTTCGGAAGTTACACTATATGGTAGAATATGCAAGAAAAAAATATGTGACATATGTTTGCGGTTTGGATTGGAATATTGGATATTCTGATCCGAACCGCAACATATGACAGATATTATTATTCCAGTGCTTGAGTTGACCCTTGTTGATTCTTAGTGCAAAAATAATAAAAAGTTCCATGACATGTAGTTTTGTAGATTTATTATCATCAATTATATTGCTGCTGTGATGTTATTAAATTAACCTGCTTAATAGGGACATGACTGAGGTTATTTGGCCGGACAGGACTAGACTTTTCAAGCTTTGTTTGCCATTTGATGAAGTTCTTGATCAAGAACATCCAGGCAAAATTCAGATGATTCAATCACTATGTTTTTTTAAGAATCTATTCCAAACTATGAATGTATTTATTAAAATTTGAAGGAATTTAATATTATTAGCTTGACTAGTCGAAGAATATGGAGAGCTATTGAATTCACCTAGGTGTTGGCCTGTGCATCACACTTTGATTAACCTTTTACCACATATATACGCGAAACAACGCACTTTCGACCCCCCCCCTTTTTTAGGCCTAAAATAGTGAAATAATGTCCTATTTGGGCCCCAAACATAAGTTTTCGTTTGAGAAATGTTGCGTAAAAAATTGAGCACTTTTTCGGCGCCGCCCCCCATCCAAAAGATACATCAGGGGGTTGCCAGAAGGGGGATGTGCCCCCTTCTGTTAGGGGGGTTTGAAGGGGGCGGAGTCCCCCTCATCGCCAAGAAAATTTTGGACTTGTGAGAGGCTAAAAATGACCCCAGGTCGATCATAATGTAACGTTCAACCAACGCTGAAAAGCCTTTGACTCTATCTCAATCCCTTGAGCAGTTGCAGCACTTTGAAATAAATTTTGATGGAAAAAATCGAGGCAAAATAGTTATTTTTGGCAGTTTTGAGATGTCCCCTCGTTGCCATGGTAACAGGAAATTTAAGACTGAGCATGTCGTTACAGAGGCAATGGTCCAGTCAACATTTGTGCCAAGTTTGATTAGTATTGAAGCATTTTTCATAGTTTCATAGCAGTTTGAACTTGTAACAGGAGGCTTTTCAGTGAAAACGGCCATTTTTCACAATATGCTCATGGGGGAAAGGGTTAAGTTATTGTGTGCATATAGGTATCTCCAAAACTACGGATGGGAAAGAGTTGAAACTTCACACACTTGTTTGAGAGCATAAATGAGGTTATTTTTTAAGGCCCATAACTGTAACATGGATTTTAGCAGAATTATAGCCTTTTTGAACTTATAATGTTTTACATTATGAAGGGTCTTGTTTAACTATCAAGCATTAAGAATACGTGTAGTCAAGCACTCTGTCCAAATGACAGCTCTTGTTGTTACTAAAATTCTGCCCAGCTTCGATCAGAGTTAGAAATGTCTACATAGTTTTAAATGTTATAGGTATCTGGATATTAAGTGCCTTAAGGCTAGATTAAATCATTTATACACTTGACAAAATTATTACTTGTTAACACTGCTCTGGAGGCGTGCTGCTTTAAAACCTTTTCAGCAAAAACAATTTCCTTGTTTTTCTTTTGATGTACATTGCATAATGTTACCTGTTTTACATGAATAAACTTATTTTTGGTAACACTTAAAAGTCATAAAAGTTATTTTAAGAAACAAAATTGTAATTTTTGTCTAGGGTGACAGTGTTGTTTATATCAACTGTTTAAATATACAGATAATACTCATAAACATTCATTTGGCAAGGTTAAAAAAAGTTGAAACTTACATTTAATGATGATAAACCATCAGCTGATTTACATTTATTCTTAAAATAATTTTCACTTTACAGTCAAACTTGTGTTTAAAGCCATATAGTTTTCGAAAGTCTTCATTTATTCTTAAGACAATTTTCACATTACAGTCAAACCTGTGTTTAAAGTTTGACAATATTTTCGAAATGAAAAATATCTTTTTTGACAAATGGGGCATCCATGGCTGAGTGGTTAAGGTTGTTGACTTCAAACTACTTGGCCCCTTACCGCTGTAGGTTTGAATCTCAACAGGGACTTAGGATTCTTTCATGTGAGGAAGCTATCCAGCTAGCTTACTGAATGTCGGTGGTTCTACTCAGGTGCCCATTCATGCCTGAAATAATGCACCGAAGGGCATCAGAGGTCTTCCTCCACCAGTAAAGCTGGCAAGTCAACATATGACCTATACTGTGTTGGTGTGATATAAAACCCAGTCAAAGAAAAATACACTTTCAAAGTTTATTAGCAAATTTCAGAGGTTAATCTCATATATTGTATGTGTGACTGTTTTATTATGTGAATGCTTTTTTTGGTCACATTTACTGTAAGAGAAGATGTTTACTAACTATGCTGTAAACATATTCCAGGTGTGAGTGTCGAGAATATAACAGAGTTTGTCAACAAGTGGTCAGAGGTGTTAAACAAAGGATGAGCCTGGTACCAGTTATTACAAGATGAAGGTCTCAGCACTGCTGCTGGAAGAAGTCTGGGAACCAGGCAGTATACAGACAAAACAATATGTTTTTTAAGATTTAAAAGAAAATCAAAAAGACATTTATTGTTTTTTCCAAAAATTAGCAGTTGTACATGACAAGATACACTGTTAAAGATCATGTGTTATGTCAGTGAAAATAAAATCACCTGATAACATACATTCATGTGAGATCATGTGAAAGAAAGGAAGTCATTATGTCAACCAATAAAAATATCTATTCATATACTAAAATATATTAAGCTATAAAAAAGAGTCCCAGTCTGTCACTGTAGCTGTATGATTGGTTGATTTTTAAAGTTATGCAATGCTGCTGCCAATCAAAAGCTAAAGATTAATGATTTTTAGACTGGTAACAGGATTAGGCTGATATGATTATCTGAATGTGACTTTGGGTATCTAATAAGAAAAATATAGTGTTAAGTTGGTTAACTTTAGCATTTTTTGCTAAACCTTGGGAATTTATTGGTTATTTATTTAAAACAGTGTTGTAAATCTCTTACTAAATATGATCATGGGTTTCTATGGTTGATTATTATGGTCTTTGACCTCTAACCTGAATGTGGGTCTTGTGAGAGCCTGTGGGTGACCCTGTCAATTGTTATGGTTCAAGACCTCTTATCTGCAAATGCCAATTTCTTGGTCTTTGACTGAAAATGCCAATTTCTTGGTCCTTGACCTCTAATCTGTAAAATGCCAATTTCTTTGTCCTTGACCTCTTATGTGCAAATACCAAATGTTGGTCTTCGACCTCTTATCTTCAAATGTCAAATTCTACACAGAATAATGATCTACAATAATCATATTAAGCTATGGAAGATTTGTTGTTGTACCACTGTTTCTGCTCAAGCCTAAACAAAATACTTTCACATTGATTCGTTCATGGCCTACCTTTACAGTAAAATCTTGCAATTAGCTTAAATTATAACGCAGCTTGTTTCAAGACAACTTGAAAGCCAAGAAAATGGAATTCATACTTCAGTGTATTCGTAAGTTATGTTATTTAAACTTTTAAATACTCCAAAAATGAAATTGGAAAAGGAACTATTGTAGCGAAATGCGTTTTCGTAAAGGGCAACTCAGCAATAAGTTACGGAATGTTGCAGCTATGCAAGTTCTAGCCTATGAATGTTTTATTGTTACATTTTATAGCTTTAATTAAGTTATGTATTATCTTTACAATGGTTAGATAGATTAAATATCATTGTCTGCCATTAAAACTAAAAGGAATGTGAGGTTGTCTGTCTGCATATTTGTGATGATTTTCTTGTTAATGATAAGACATGAACTGGAAATTGAAACCTGATGCCACTGACAATGAAATGCATGTGACATCAGCTTTAGCATTATGTTGGCAACAGATTCTACCCATGCCACCAGTGCAGACCAAAATCAGCTCGCACATTTGTACCATCTGATCATGGTCAGCAGAATTCGCTATTTGATCAGTTCTTTATTTTGAAGTTTTCCACCACAAATTATGAATTATCTTTTCAAGATTGAAAGATGGAAAAGATCATTAGGCAGGTGTTACCTTTTTATAAGAGGAAGCTATCAAGCTCTCTGATTATTGGGTTTTATCAAGGTACCCCGTTTTTTGTACTGGCTGACCTTGAGTTGGTACTGGTTGCGAGGGTAGAATCAGTTCCCACCAGTAGGTTATGGTTTACTTGGTATGATAATTATTACATTATTTTAAATGGTAAATAAGAGTTAATTCCCCTTTTTTCTATGCAAAGACTATCTTACATTAATCCTTCCTGTTTAATAGCTTTACTGACAGCAAATATCCAAGTGGTTCTGTTCTCTACTTTATGTTAGAACCTTGATGTTGTATCATTTAAAATTTAAGTTGACTTGACCAAATTCATGGTTGGACAAGTTCATTTTACAGAGTGCAGGTTAACTAATATAGTGGAATATTTGAATTATGAAATGAATTATATAAGGTAGAATGGTGGATCACTTGCACTGGTTCCCACATGACTTATAATTTATGTCCATACAATGTCCCGTTGTTATGATAACATTTGAATGTGCTTTATAAGCAGAAAACTTTCTACAGTATGGTTAAACCTTAATGTCTATAACAACTGGGAACCAGTTTAAACACGAGAAATTTCCTGTAAAACATATACATGTATATGTAAAAAAATATGTATGCACAGAAAAATCACACAGTGGTTAGCATACTGGACCGACAATCCAAAGATCCGTGGTTTGAGTCCCATCTGCGTCGTTCTGATCTTTAGTTTGATTTATATTTATCATCTTCTTAATTTTTCAATTATTAAAATGCCTACCTGAAGTTTTTCTTGCATCCAGTTTAGATGAAGAACACTATCAGATAATGATTACTTCTTAATAATTGATAATGTTGAATGCCTAGTATTTTAATTAGATTCTAGGATACTGTATATGACCTCCTGAACTCTTACATAATAGTCCTTAACTCAAAGAATATGTTTATTTTATCAAATTTCTATTAAAGGTATTGAGATTGTCAGAACTGATACAAAGTTTTGTTACTATTTGTTCCAGAAAGTTATTTATATATTTATTATCTCTGTTACCAAAGAAATAAGCCCAAAGCTACTTGGAATACACATGTAATAATGCTGCATTGTTCAGATGTTTTTGTTGGGATGCATTTCTTTTCTTTCTCTTTTTTTTTTAAGATTTGTATTTTAAGTATGTGTAGCAATAAATATTAAATGGCTGCAATTAAAGCTTTCTTGTTTTCTTGTTTTTTCTATTTGTTTACTTATTGTGATTTTTATAGGCCCCAATTAAAGAGTGGCAAGTGCAAAGTGAAGGGAGGTCCATCGATACTTAGTATACATCAAGTTATCTATGTGCACTAAATAACTTTGAGACTGAATGCACCTTAGTTGGTTAAAGTTCTAACTTAACATGAACATTGCCCTTTTCTATTGATTCTGAGGTCAGTAGGTCAAGGTCACAGTGACATTGTGTATCACAGTGTGAGAAAAATCAGCCTGATAGGGACTGGGACAGGAGTCCCTGGGAATACAGTTCTTCTCTAGCAAATGAGCTTCACAACGGCATGCGTATCCCTCCAATTGGTGAACAGTTTTATTCCATGACTTGTGTAAAATCCTTAAGTAGATGAACTATTGATTTAAAAGTCAAAGTCACAATGACGTGTAAAATCTTTTGTCTGATAAATTACTTGAGATGTAATAAGCTTAAGTTTCCCAAACTTTGTAGGGACATAGCCTATAGCCATTAGGTAATGGGTCATAGGTCAAGGTCACAGTGTAATAATTGGTGTTAGGTCATTGGCTAATCAATAACTTGATAATAAAAAGGCCTGGGAATGTTAAACATGGTGAGTAGATGCCCCTTTTGACTGAGGTTATTAGGTCAAGGTGACAATGTAAAATTCTTGTCTAGTCAATAACTGGTGTTCCCTCCAGTAGTAGGTTTGTGTGAAATGAACAGGACCTGATTGTATCACAGATATAACTAACTACAGTGCCACCTTTGTTGAGCAGCCACCTCTGAACCTTTAACCCCTGAAAAGCAACCCCTCTCATCAGCAACTCAAATCTTTGTTTTCCAAAGGGTGATGCTCTGCAGAGATTGTACTGTACATATAAGTTAATCATTAACATTTTAAGTGAATTTGTTGTTTTGCCAAAAGCCATGAAATTCAGTTTTAAGTTGTTATCTTAAAAATTTGCAAAATACATTAGCCGCTTCAATGCTATCAGTAATACTTAATTGTTTATGTCACCAGTATCCATGCAGTCTGACCAGAGAGTTGACTGTGTTCTGTAATACTATTAGCTGTTTGAATTTTAGTTCCCAGACGGTATGGCTCAATCTGTTAGGGTGCGGGACTTGTAGTCTTTTTTGTGGGTTCGATTCTTAGGCTTGCCAACTATATTTACTAATAATCGGTCTTTGAGATGAGACTTTAAATTGACGTCCGTTTTTGAGTGCTTAAACACTTCTCATACAAAAGAACCAGGAGAAGCCTCTGGAATTGGGACATCTTTCTGTATCTTGCACTATCCTGTAAAATATAAAAGGATTAGTACTCTTCTGGAGGACCCACTAATTTGAGCAACTGGTGGCGAAATAAATAAACTCAATTAAAAACACACTCAAATTTTAGTTTGATTATGTAGAAGGCGGCTATAAGCTGATAGACACACTTTGGAATCTGTCCCTAGAACCAACCAGTACTAAGCAATGAGTGTAAAGTTTCTTGCCCAAGGAAATAACAGATTGTCCCTGGTGGGGATTGAACCCATTTATCCAGCAATCCTTAAATTATTAGTCTGACATGTTAACCACACGGTCAAGCTGCCATACATCAATTTTAATGCTTAAATTTTGCATTTTAATAGCATAGTAATTCTATACATTATTGTCAGTGAATTGCTCCAAATTTAAACTAGGATAAGCCATTTATACAAATAAAGCACAGTTAAGGGGTTAAATATCATTTCGATCAATTTCAACTGCGAGACTAGGTCAAATATTTTAAGCAAACAAGCTATACAAGGCAGTTAAATATTTAATTTTCCTTTCATTGGTCATATAAAATAGTGCATTGAAATTTATGTTTACTTTTTCTTGTGTAACTTTCATAGCATAAAAAATTATAAAGATTTTAATGTAAGTAAATACATTTTGTGTAGCGTGACATAAATTTATTTGAAAACAAAGTCAGATGACAATGTTTAAAACTTGCATGTTTGGTTATCACAATGGTTGTTCAAATAGGGTTATGTAATTATTGTATGAATAAACTTAACAACATTATGTGGTTATACTATAAAATGGGTGTTACATAAGTTTTTCATTTGTTGTGATGCTATTTAATTATTAAGTGTATGTGTTTCCTAAATGTATTAATAACAGTTACTATAGTTCAAGGACTTAATGACATTTGTTATGACAACAAACAGCAATTCACACAACCTTTTAGAATATAACCAAGGGTAAAGTACATTCAGGCTATAACTTTTTTGTTATTTTTGTTGTTGTTGTTTTTTTGTTGTTGTTTTTTTTTGGGGTGGGGGGTCTTATTCTCTGAAAGCAGTGGCAATAATAACATAATTGTTTATGCGACCAATTTAGAGCAATATCCAACCTTCACAATTCTGTGCAATCTAATACCAGGTTTCTCTGTTTAGACATATTGAAACCATTACAGTCATGTATTACTTAAAACAGACAGCAGGAAGAGTCAATTTAACTCTTTACCTTCTGAATTTGTGCTGGATTGGACTTTCCTTGCTTTAAATTTTGAACAGTTCATTCATGATTTGCTAAATTTGTGCAACATACTTGCTTTGTGTTGAATTTGGAACAGTTCATTCATGATTTGCTGACTTTTTCCTGCTTTGATTTTGGAACAGTTCATTCATGATTTGCTTACTTTTTCCTGCTTTGAATTTGGAACTTGCTGACTTTGCCCTGCTTTGAATTTGGAACTTGCTGACTTTGCCCTGCTTTGAATTTGGAACAGTTCATTCATGATTTGCTGACTTTTTCCTGCTTTGTATTTGGAACAGTTCATTCATGATTTCAAAACTACCAACTAATAATTATAGAGATTGGTCACATTGCATGTAAATACAGGCTGACCTGGATCTATACTGGGGAAAGGGGGGGGGGGGCAGATGCTTTATATTTTTAGATATTTTTAGTTCCTGCAGGTTAAGGGTTAAAAACATTTCTGAAATATAAGGGTAATGGATATGTTTGCATTAAGATAGAAAAAAAGCAAAAATACGTGACTATTTTGTACTTGGCCTATGTAAGTACATATTGTTACGACCTTTTTTTCTTTACATCAGATAACAAGCACTTTTGTTTATTGATAAATTGGTTTTAAAAAAAATGTAGGACAGACGGTAATTAAGTGAAGTAAGTGTACTACCTTTCAAATTGTAATTATCTTAACTCCATCTTAGGTTTTTTTTCCTTTTAAAATTAAACATAAAATATATCCTTATTTGCAACTACAATGTTATTATGTGTGTTAATGACACATTTAGTGAAAAATCATACAAATTATTAAAAAAACCTTTCTCTTGAGACCAAAACAGTGCTTTTGTCTTAAAATGATATAAATTGCATGTTTCTTTTTCTGAAAAACCACACGAGAGTACAGACCATTTTTCATTTCGTTTGACTGGTTGTTAAGTGCAGGTTTGTTGGTATTTGTTATTCTGTTTAAAATTATAGAACTTAATTGTATAAAGGGTGGCCAGACTCACAAAGTGGTTGTCTACGAGGGTGAAAATACTAAATGCAGGTGATTAATCTCTTTGCTTTGATTGCTTTTTCAGTCAGTTTGACTTGGTCAATCTTAGTATGGTCGGAAATGAAATCCTTAAAGAACCCCCAAAACGGCAAAATTCTAAGGTTGAAGAATCAGTTTGATGTAGCCGCTTCATGGCATAATTGGTAAATGCAAGCTATCCTTCACACCCCTTGCACGGAATTTAGCAGAATTCAACATTTAGACATGAAAATGACGAAATTTGGAATTTAGATGCGTTCAATTACGGACCTTCAAAGTGACTCATATCTGCTATTACATTGGTCCCCCCAAGTAGAAAAACAATGTGTTTGCCACCA